GTAGCTGATCCGGCTTGAGAACCCGCTGGAGGGTGGAGGGCCAGGGGAGAAAGGCTCGGCTATGCTATATACTCTTTACTCTGTCGGGGAGAGAGAGAAAGAGAGTCGAGAGGGGTTGCCGGCCAATCGGAGTCCAAGAGCCGTGCGTGAGTTCTCGGCTCAACTCACTCTCTTGCACTCCATCTCCGGCTATACTATTTTTATTATTTATCCTTTTACTGAGGATTCTGAGGAAAGGTAACTAATATCACGTGAGAGCCAACAGAATAAGCAAGGGGTTCAATATTTTTACTCCGAAATTTTTATATATTTTTTTTAAATCATTTTTAATTGATACCATTTTATTGAGCAACAAGTAAACTGACACTTGAATATTTTTCAGTGATTAAATATACCCTGAAGAAATTAAATAGATGACTACGTGACAATGGATATGGACAAAAGTTGCTGACACAGATATTTGTGTCTTCATAAAAGGCGATAAAAATAATAGTGGTGTCGGCGGCGTAGCTGTTGCTGTTGCTGATGATTATGATGGTGGTGGCGGTGGCTCGTTGTGTTGTTTGTTGCGGGAATGCACGCATTCTAAACGAAGGTTCTAAAATGTAGGACACACGCAGCGTGCACACACTCTGACTCTGACTCTGACTGTGATGCCGCGACTACTCATTCCCCTCTTGCCTTGCTTGGTCAACACCAACCAACGTTATCCCCGCCATTGTGCCACTATTTAACATTAATCCTCCGTTAAGTTAACTTGCTGTTATGTGCAGTATGTATGTTGTAAGTTGTAAGTATGCTCTTCACCATCGATGTCCATATTATACTAACGGAACAAAAAATTACATATCTGCCTATTGTATGTATGGTTTATATGTATCAGTATGGGATATGCTAATCCATGTGTGAGTTTATAAATACATCTGATCCTGTGCAATCAAACATAACACGTATGATATAAATATATCGGTTAGGTATATATATTTAGATATAATATGGGTGTACATTGCCAGCAGATTGTTGAGCTTCAAGAGATGTTTAGTTTATTTTATTTTAATTTATCCTAAGTTAACTATTGCTAGAGAAATATTAATACGTAGGAGAAACTGTCGGTGTATATTTGTATTTTTATTTATTTATGTATGGATGTATTTAATATTGTACACATATATTCTGACGTGTGCGACACCAAGCAGATCGTTCCAAGCACATCCTGGCACTCCCCCAGTTACTCGTTGAGGGAGTGGTGTTAAGAGGGGCGCATAGATATCCGAGGCCACTCTCGAGTGCCAGGAGTAAGTTGCTGGCTCTATCAATTATATATAACACTGAACACTGTTGTATTTTGTATCAGATGTATGTACTGTACGATAATACGATACTATACTGGTTCGTTGTATTCCCCCTCGAATTTATTATTCAAGTTTTAAGATCCCTTTCATCGATGTGGACCCTTTGGCTGTGCCAGTACTACATGGGTTGCTTAGTAATTTGCCCACGTAGCTGGGAAATTTAAAGTCGTATTTTTCGTCAGCCGCTGACGTTGAAATTTAGTCATCCGATGAAGCAACCCTCATTTACAATCGTTAAAGTTAAGCGGCTAAGTATTTTTAAATGCCGCTCGTTAAATATTTGAAGACGAGTCCTCGAACAATATATTGTAACTCATACTGTGTGCTTATCTTTTAGACAAAGTCATTTCAAATGGTATCTAGTGTAATTTGTCGATAATTTGAAACTAATGGTAAATACACTTAGTTTATATCCACATTACAAAATACCTACGTCTAAAATGTCCTAAAAAGATAAAATAATTGAAACATATTTAGTCTCTATTTGATCTTACGTTTCCTTTTGACTCTTTCACAATGTCCTGAACTGGTCATTACGTAATTGTTATTATTATTTGTAGTATCTTCATGGCTTTATGCTTTTTATATAAACAAAAAGATTTATTGTAATTTGTAATAGTATGTGTGTGTATGTATGTATGTATGTATGTAGGCTGTAAATGTAAAAGTGATGACGCGGTTGATTTTTCGCCCCCGATGCGCGGGAGGCTTAAGGTATAGCGCTTGCGCCAGCTCTTCAGGGTATTTTATTATTTTATCATTGTTTGTAATAATTTACAGAGTTAATAGTTGGTAGAATAAGCTTTGTGTTGATTTTACATTATCCCGATACGAGCTGGTCGCGGCAATGCCGATTACGCAATGCGTGGCCGTGAGATTGTCCGAGTCTCGTGTCGCGTCGCCACTTTACACTCTTATTTCTGTCTTTATCATAACTTTTTCTCTTTCTTATACACACTCCTATCCTTTAGTATACATACAGAAGATAGGATAGGATAGAATAAAAGTTTTATATGACGCCCGCGACTTTGTATATATGAGTCTCCTTTTTTTACAGTGTCGTATAATAGTAAGAATATTATTATATCACAGTCAACACACATCTCGTTTTACATTACATTACTTACACTTACGACCTGCTTGCATGTAGTCGCTTTTTACTCAAGTGTCTTTATATATACACACTCATGTGTAATTTTATTGGTGTGTATATGTAACATATATGCGTCAAGGAGCACCCATTTTACAAGAGGGTTCATACAATACAATACTGTACAGCAACAAGTTTTTCTATATAATAGTCACATTCAATGTATGTAACTCTGCATATATATATATATATATATATATATATATATATATATATATATGTATTACATTATATTATAGAAGGAAAATACTCGGGGAGGCCATGAGTAATGACGCTATCGGTGATGAAGTCATCGTAGCCGTAGATTAAAATTCTTAAATGCTTTTTAAAACTATATTAACAATATTTAAGTCGTTATTATTTATTACAATATTTATTTACTTAAATTTGATTTTTTTTAATTAAAAATTGATTTTATTATTATATAAATATTTAAATAGCCGGTGACATTTGAAGTAATTTTATTTTATAAATTCAAATGAATGTAATCCTTTAATTTAATTTAAAGAATAATCTAAAATGATTCTAGATTTTAGTTATCAGTTTATGACGTTGTGACAAACGGAGTATTCCCCTTCTATTAAAGCAAACTGTTTGACATTTTTTTTCTTCTTTTATTTTATTATTTTTAAAAATACTCTTCTCTTTTATTCTATTCTGTTGCTGGTTAATCCTCGATGATGGCGCGACAACTTAACTGAACACAGTTGTGTACACCAACTTAACGACTTCAGTTTGTTCTATTTACTATTTATTTAATGTGTGTTATAAAATAATAATATTTTTTTTTGACTTCAATATGATAGAATAAAATAAAATTGAGTGTTTTAGAATATCTGTACAGAAATAATGTAAATAGGGAGTTAAATGTTATCCTGATTGGATGTTATGGCTGACTTTGTAAGACTTGCGTAATATATTACATCTTTTTGTGCCGGCAGGTAGACAATTTTAGTCAAGTGGGAATGCGAGGATTATTACCTATGTGGTCGCGGTAACTAACAGCTAAGCCATATATAAATATAATACCACATATAACAAGGATACGAGATATATAATATGTATAGTATAACAGCTATGCGTAAGAATGAAGATACGAGAGTAAATGTGAAAGAAGAAGGAGAGAACTAGGAAAAAGATATGTGGATAATAATACATTGGAAAGTGTACAAGCTACAGCCAAGACAGTAAAGTAAGGGCCTTGGAATAACAGCGTGCGTGAAACCAATCGTGCTTCCTCTTGCAGGTTAACGAGGTCGTTCAAGGTCGTACCTTGGTAGTCCAGTCGCAATACCCACGTGCATAATTTTATATATTTGAATAACTGGATTAGAATTTGATTTATAACATTCTAAAATAACAACTTATTTTGTTAACTTAAACTCTGTTGATACTTCAACAAATAATTTATTTATTCAACATATTATTTTTATTCAAAATTTATTTTATTTATTTGTAAAAAAACCCCCTCGGCAATTTATAACAATATGTTACATTTTGATAAATTAAAAAAATTTTTTTTAATTTGAAAGAAAAAATTATAAAAAAATTTGAAAGAAAAGAAAAACAGAAACTATCAAACATAATATGTTTGATAGTTTAAAATTAATGAAATAATTTTAATTAATATATACAAATTTATTACAAGTGTGTAAAACTTTTGATAGAATATTACTGACAAGTGACTAAGCAAATTAACGAGATATTTATGAGCAAAGGAATATTGCATAGTATATTCAGGCGACGACTTGTCTATTTTATTGAGTATGTATTTATATTTATATTTGTACACGCAAGGTTTAACGAGATTTAGCGTATGTATGTGTAAGAGAATAGAGCCAGTTGGGATTTTTTTTCTTACATACGAGATGTAAGAGGGCAAGCAAGATACGTAAAAGGAAAAGAATGAAATCGTCTATTCAGCCTACACATTTTAACATCAGGGTCGTATAGTTTACGTCCTCCTCCGCCACCTCGTGCATTTAATTTCTTATGTGCGTCTTGGTTACCAAGCCGGTTAGGTGTATGAGTAGTTTTCATATATACATACTATTATATTGAGATTGAGGATTATAATATTATAATAATAATAATAATAATAATAATAATAACAACAATCTAAAACTACGTTTTATTGTTGTTTATGTGCCTGAAGGCGCCCACGTGTTTCTGCGTTTTAAATAAACATAATGATAATGAATAAGGAAATTTTTTAAGATGAAATATTTTTACTAAGATTGCTTATCGATAATTTATTTTATTTTATTTTATCTATTAATTAGTTAGTTTATTAACTGTTTTTTTATTTTTTATTTCCAGATCACAAGTGGAAAATACGTGATACTTTGTGTGCAGCCGATGAAGATTACAGAAGGCAAATTACTTTGGAGTAACAGCCGCAGCAGCAGAAGACGAGGAAGCAATAAAGATAGTTTAAGGCCGTGGTCAGCGCGGAAGAGCGTCAGCAACGCGCAAATAAGAACTACATCTGAGATCTGATGTTAGCGGACATTAACGGTAACCTGGCGGATCTGAGAAGCGAAGCGATGACGTCGCAGAGGTTTTGTCTGCGATGGAACAACCATCAGAGCAATCTACTTTCGGTGTTTGATCAACTGCTGCATGACGAAGCTTTCGTTGATGTTACCCTGGCCGTCGAGGGCCAGTTGCTCAGGGCACATAAAATGGTACTGTCAGCATGCAGTCCATATTTTCAGGTAAACTATTTTTTTTTTTATTTAAATACCGGGTAAAATTTTGAAGATATAAAAAAAATTACAAGGGAATTTTTTTAATAATGTGATAAAAGTTAAAAAAATTTTTTATTTGGAGTAATTATTAAAAATATTATATTTGAAAAAATTTTAAATATCAATCTCATGAAATATTAAAGATAAAAAAATAGTAAATCATTTTTTTTTTTTTGTAGGAAATTAAATTCTGTATAAAAAAAAAGGCCCTTATCAATTTTATCGTCTCTTATCTTTTAGACGGAATTATAATTTAAAAATTTTTTATTTTTTATTTTTTATTTGACAAATAATTAATATTGTTTTTTTGTTCTTGCAGGCTCTATTTACAGGGCATCCTGATAAACATCCAATAGTTATTCTGAAGGATGTTCCTTACGTGGACATGCGCAGTCTCCTGGACTTTATGTACCGCGGTGAAGTGAGCGTTGATCAAGATCGGCTTACAGCCTTTCTCAGAGTAGCCGAGTCACTAAGGATAAAGGGTTTAACCGAAGTTAATGAGGATAAATGTGATTTACCAAGCATAACGTCTTCATTACTTGGAAATCAAAACACAGTACCTCCACCCCCACCAAATTTACATAGAATAAACCAAATTGGGTCTCATCATCATCATGTTACACAGAAGAGGTTCCATCATATGTCAAGTCATCCTCTGTTAGGCTCGGCACTAACTGCGCCAAAGAGAAAACGCGGACGACCACGAAAACTTAGTGGCTCATCTGACACGCCGATGGAGGGACAGGATATGCAATCATGCTCAACAACCGATCTTGTCCAAGGCTCTCCCGAGATGATGGAAATGAAAATGGGGATCGACTTTCAGAGTGACGCTGGTGGTAACGGCAACGCTAATAACAATAATAACAGTGGTAGCAATCACTCGGCCTCATCCGGTACACCGGGTCCTATTACCGGAAGAAAAGACGAGCCTACGGAAAATGGTGAACGGGATACACCGGAGCCAGTGACGCCTAGGATTAAACGAGAACCAGAACCAACGCCAAGTACCTCTGCGCAGGGTAAGTTTTTATTCTTTTCAATTACTCATTTTTTTTATTTTTTTTTTACTGCCCAGTACTCTCATTACTCTCATTACTTTTCTATCTTATTTCTTTTCTTTGCTGGCTGTCACATCAACAAGACACCACGTGTTAATGAACTTTATTTAACAGTATTAATAAATAATTGTTTTATTACAGGAACAATTATTAATTATCTGGCTAATAAAATTTTATTTACACGTGTAATGTCTTTAATTGTCGGGCCAGCCTGATCTGTAATTTTTAATTATGTATACTATTTATTAATTTTTAATCAATACTGATATACATATTTTATTTTTTTTTTTTTTTTTTTTGAAATTTTTTATTTAAAAAACTGTAATTGCTTGTAATACGCCTTACGCGACGAGGGACCTGTCAAATGGACCCGTGATACTTTTGGAAATTCTCATTTTCTTCTTTTCCTTCTCTCTGTTTATCATTGATCATAAATATATAAATAAGTATATTGCTTACAGGAATAACTATAATAATTATATCTACTTGAAATAATTATTTATTAAATTTCATGGTAGATATTTAAAAAATTTTTATCCTTAAATCATTTGATGATATAAGGCGCCAAACAGATAAAAATTCTTATATAATTTAATTGTTTTCTATTTTATTATTGCGAAGGTGGTAATCGCAATGAAGATGATTAAGTAGAAGGTTGAGATAAAAATTAAGGCACTGATGTAGATTATTTTTGCGATGTTTTTCACGGATTTCAAGTTATTTATTTATTTATTTCTTCCCTTTTAAATACTCTGCATGACGTAGCAAGTATATTAGACAATCCATCTAAAAAAAAAAAAAAAAAAATTTATTTTAATTTAAAAAGTAAAAGCGAGCTTTTGCACCCACTCAAATGAGCTCTTGTTTATTATTTTCATTTTAAATCCCCATATCCGTTTTTAAAATTACTAATAAATCAATTTTTATGTTACCAAAATAACCATTAAGAAAATAAAAATAACTTATCACTTCCTGAAACTTTTTTTTAATAGATTTCTGTCGTAATTAATTATTTTATTTATATTTTTTTTTGTAATTATATTTCAAGAGTTTAGTTAATGAAAAATGGAGTTAAAAAAATTAAAGAAGATAACACATTGAATCCAACCAAGAGTATCACATCCCAGTACCATATATCTGGTCCATAAGACAAATCACAAACCCATGTAACACTCGGCTAATCACGCTCGGTCAATGAGCAGCGTATATTAATAATAATAATTTTATTTTAAAATAACAATAACAAACAAAAATTTTAAAAACTAAATTGCTTTATTAATTTACATTCATAAATAATTAATTTTCAATCTAAAAAAATAAAAAAAAAAAATCAATTTCTATTTCAAATTTCTTGCATCAATTTTAATAAATTAAATATTAACTGTTTTGTTTGTGTTTTTACTTTATTAATTATAAAATTAACGAATTAAAATAAAATAGTTGTAAATTATAATAATTATAATTTTTACCCTGCATAATTAGAGAATAATAATAAAGCTTCGCTGCCATTGGCCACTGCGATGAATAGAGGGGGTGGAGCCAGCTAGCGGTGCTTACATTTAAAACGCTGGTTAAAATATTTAAACGTTAATTGTTATTATAAGTAACAATAATGAATAAAACACAATAATTATAGAGGGAAATGAAGATAATAATTAAATCAAGTGTATCACAGACCTTTTTTTTATAAAAAAAAAAAAATTTATATGTATTTTAAAATCGTTGAAAAACTTCGCAAGACTGCACACGGGATTATTATTTTACGAAATAAAATATAGTGTGAATGTGTCTTAAAAAATGGTTGACACACACGAACGCGATACACATGCAATGGGGGTGGACGCGTCTTGCCTCTGTTCACTGTTTCGTCGCTTCCGCCTTCTCTCTCTCCCTTTCTCTCTCTCTTTCTGTACATGAGTGCAAGAGTGTGTGTATACATGCGAGTATGTTTGTACGTCATACGTCCACCACCAACGACGATTTTTTTACGTATTTTATTTTAAATTATTTATTAATTCACATTATTTACATAACAACAATAATAATAAAAGTAATTTCGCGAAAGAGAGAGCGAAAGAGAGAGAGAAAAGGGTTTTAGCCGAAAAAAAAAAAAATAAATATATGTATAAATAATAATTAATAAGACATTTATATATTTTATTCAAAAGTGGTAAATATGATTTTTTTTTCTTGACTAAAAAAAAATATAATTATTATTATTATTATTTATTATTATATATGTACATACATATATAAATATATTTATTAAATAAAATTGATAACAATAATCATAATAATAATAATAACAATTGATAATAAGCAGAGTGGTCAAAGATTGTGAAGATTCTTTGAAAAATAGTGACACGTGATTATTTTTGTTTTTTGCACACAGGTGAGTTGAGAATTGAATCACCTTTGAAATCTGTCGTTTATTTAATATTGCGCGGGGAAGCGAGGGACTAGGGAAGGCCAGCCGTAAAAAAAAAGTACTATTAATATTTTTAAAAAATATATTACAAAGAATAAATTTACATAACACCACAAAAGAGTTTTTTTTTCGAAAGAAGCTATCTTGTTGTTAGTTAATAATAATTAATAACCGCGGAGAGAAGGAGAAGCAAGGACGATGAGAATATATATAGAATTATTTTATTTTATTTTGATTTATTTTATTTAGTTATTTTGTGTTGAAAAAAAAAATTCTAAAAAATATTTATTACATATATTATATGTAATACGTCCTCGTGAATTCATCCTTAGATATTTTTTTACAGTAATTGCGATGATGACTGCATCGTGTTACTTTTACTTGATGATTATGATGACGTGCAGTAGCAGGTTGTGCAAGCAACGCACAATAAGATTTGTGTATACACATTTTTAAAATAATTTAAGCACATAAACAACTAAATAAAATGAAACAGTAAAATAAAATAAAATAAAATAAAATGTAATGAACAAGTCTTTAATTTAATAATTAAATAAATATCAAGTGTGTGTGCACGCATGTGAGTCTCGAGTTTATTTAACTCCGTTAGCATTTGGTGGGTGATTTCTTGTGTTGTATAATTTATTATTATTATTATTATTATTATAATAACTTATTCTGCATGCATGATATTGTTATAAAAGATTTAATATAATGCAAAAGGCAGTAACAGACCATGTAATATGAGTGTTTGTGTTTGCAAGTCCAGAGAAAACGAGAGAGAGAGAAAGATAAACCGAGCAATTGAATATATTGAAGATTTTAAATGGTAACAGTGTGAGGGTGGGTTGACGAGACACACGGGCGTGCGCACACAAGGGTTATTTTTTTTATTATTATTATTATTATTATTATTATTAGTTAATTAATTATTGATATTAATACTGGAGAAAGTTATTATTTTCAAGTTTTAAACAACGGTCGAATTTTTATTTACAGTGACGAATTAGTTATTTTGCTGGCTCTACCCTTCCTCTTGCTTCCCCCCACAATTAATATGTATAATAATTAAATTAATTAATTAATTAATTAATTAATTAGTGATTGATTGATGAAATTTTTGCGGTAAGGGCATTTATAGCAAGTACTTGAAGATTATTTATTTTGTTTGTAATTTTTAATATTTTAAGTAAAAAAATGCTCTGTCGTACTAATTTATTCAATTAATTAAACCGGTATTAGTACCGCTAGAATAATGAATTAATTAAAATAAAAAATGAAGTAGCAATAAAATAAGGATGTATATTCGTGATACGAGAAGTGTTTATCGTTTTCAGACGCGGAGGAGTCGTCGAACGGAAGTCATGGTGTTGGTGGGGGTGGTGGCGGCGGCGGCGGCGGTGGCGGTGGTAATAGTAGTGGAAACGGTGGTGGTCAATCACCGGCACACATACGTATCAACTTTGAGCGATGCTTTCGTAACGAGTACAGCGCATCGAGCTTGCAGCAGGGAAAAGCATCAGCCGGTGGTGGGACCAACAATGACTGCTTATCCGGGAGTGGAGCAGCTAATTTAGAAGAGCCCCCGAATAATTCAGACACCGAGTCTGAGCATAAGGTGTCGAACAAAGAGCACCACCTGATGAGCAGTGCCATATTCAATCTGGTCAGCGGCGGTGAGTCTGAAATTAGCCAAAGCGACTTCGAGGGATCTTTTAAGGTTGAGAGCGAGAGAACAGAAGGATCTGTTCGGGATTTCTGCGTCAAAGAGGGCGACGTTTATCGGTGTACTGTTTGCCATCGCACTTACACCCATATAAGCAATTTTTGTCGCCACTATGTAACATCGCACAAGCCCAATGTTAAGTACTACCCGTGCCCGGTTTGCTTCAAAGAGTTTACGCGTAAGGATAATATGGTGGCTCATGTTAAGATTATTCACAGTTTAAAGCCACACATGAGCTTAGGCAGCTCCAGTATGGGCCAACAGCGGTAGGCCATCGCTCACTTCTTTTTTTTTTTTTTTTTTACACTAAAGCCAAATAAGTGAAGTAAAAGTTATTTTAAATAATGTGTAATGAGTTTTTGATTTAATTTAAACAAATTAAGGAGATTATGCGTATCGTGTATTTTTAATACACTCAAGCATCTAGGTTGTTGTTGTTGTTGTTGTTGTTGTTCTTGTTATTGTTTACGTCATTAATCATCGTCATCGTGTTATATTATTATACATTATTATAAGCATTACCTTATGCAGCTGCCAATCAGAAATAAATAATACAAAACACCAACAATATACCAACGAAATCTCCTAGCGGCTATTGCAGTCAGGCACCACCGCAAATAATAAGTAATACGTCAAATACAGATTTAAAAAAATATATATAGATATATATGAGTATAATAATATTTAAAATAGGTAGTTATTTAGTAAACCCAATAGTTAGGTAGAGAATGCGATCGTGGTTTATATAAAGAGCAGGGGGATTGCACGATTCTTTTAAAGTAATCAATCAAATGGTGGAAAAAAAAATTGTTGGTTATTTCAAAAAATATAATTCGTTATTGTTAATTTTTTAAAAATTTTTAATAATCAAAAAAAGTAATTGATTCTCTTATTGAGATTATTTATTATGCCAATACTTATATTAACTATAAAACTATATTTATCATTGTACCTTTTTTTATTGTTCATTTTTTGACGTAGTGTAAATTTATCAATTATTAATTAATAAGATTGTTGATTGGAAAAAAAATTTTAAAAATGAAAAAAAAAAATGAAAGTAGAAATTAAACGTTGACGTGACAATCTCCCTGGTAAGCGAGGATGATGATAGAGAATAGAGTTTAATAAATAATAAAAAATATATATAAAGATGTGATTGTTATTTTGATGATAAAAAAAAAAAAAAAAAAAAAAACAAGCCAACGCGGGCATTAATTTACAAAATAAACGAGCTTTACCGCTTTAATCTCCTACGCAATAAAAAACATGGGAGTTGCGGATAATATATACAAAAGAATACGTTATTACTTGCAAAGAATTTATATGAAAAATTAAATTAAATAAAAAAAAATGGTTAAAATAAATGCGACCGCAACTTTTTTAAGTTGCGGTCTAGATAAGTCGATTGTAATAAGAAGAATAAAAAGTAATGGTTATTGAGAAAGTTGAAAATGTAAATTGGCTAAAAAAAAGTTATCAAAAATTTTGAAGAAAGATTAAAAATCCATGTGGCTAGTTTTTAATTTACGATACCGCGCGAATGGACTGTTAACAAAAAATCAAATGTTGCATACGATTAAGTACCTAAGTACATTAATTGCACACTATTGTGCTACCGAACACGCATCCCATTACATTAAATATTAAACACATATCCAAACAAATAAATAAAACTTGAGAAACATTACACTAAAACTAACACGTAAAAAATTGAAAAATGTCAAAAAAAAAAAAAAAAAACAATAACAGTAATAGTTATGCGTAAAGATTAACATATTGACAAGTACTCATAAAAAATATAATAAGGAAACCACGTAGACTGAGTAAATGCAATATATGTACGAGAGACACATATTCGACCGTTCGCCGCATTGTTGAGCCGTTTTATCGTCGAGCTGTCGAGTCTGATTTTATTATCACTTGATTGTTATATCGTAGATTTATTTAGTCTGAGTGGGACAGGTGGATAATAATAATAAAATGTTTTTTTGCGCAATCAAAATATTAATAAAGTAAAATATAAATATATATTAATGAGTAAATAAATAAAGTTAATATAAAATGATGGATCAATTTGATTATATCGAGTATAATGAATAATAATAATAATAATAATAATAATAATAATAATAATAAATAATAAATGCAAACGTAAAATGTAATAAATAACGGGATATGCAATTTTTGAAAGACTGCTGCAGTGGGACGGTTTTTAACGACACCAAATACAAGATAGTACTGACATTGGATAGACTGAAGGCACCTTTTATAGTAGTAAAACTTAATATTCCGTGTGCCGAGCCGGAGCCTGAAAGCCGAAGCCCATTATTAAAGTACAATATTTATTATTATTTTTATTTAGTAAATTTATAAATTGTAAAGTTCGATCTCGTTCGCGGTAAATAGTTGCCATTATTATTCTAACACATTTTTATGTATTTTAAAATTAATAATGTAGCGAGTTTTTTAACTAAACAGATTACTATAAATTTATAAAAAGTATAATTAGTCGTGTAGATAAAATATATCCAATAGTCCGGTTAATTATTGAAAGGACGTTGCCAAATACAAACAAAAGTAGGTGATTAAATTTGAATTTATATTGCGATAATAATCAAGGATAATAAATGCCTTAGAATGTGCAATTATTTTGTTGTGTTTAGTAACTTAAACGTTGAATTAAACATTTAAATTTGTTAAAAAATTATACACATATATTGTTAGAGTAATTTATTACACATTTTTGTCTCAATATATAAATATATTAGTATTTAAATAATAAAAGTAAAGTATATAAATCAGAATAATTAATTAATTAAAAATTGGTATTGCTAACGAGACTTGTACTGTGAATTTACAGAATTAAAAATAAAAGTGAGATAAAACAATCAAAGTTTATAAAAAATAATAACAATTGTTGACCGCAATTTGTTTTTTTAAATAGCGGTTACAAGGCTACGGCTATCGGCGAAGGTTTAATAGGCTTACAGTTGCAAAAAAACAGCACTATTGTAGATTACTATATTTTGCACCTTACACTTTATATCTCTCACCTCGAATTCGTGTGATAATCGTTGTGACAAAAAAAAAACAGCTTAATGCTTGTTGAAAAAAAAAAAATAAACAAAAAAAACAACAACAATTACTATTATTTACACAATAATAATAATAATTAATATCTACTAAACGATGCGACTAGAGGTGGCGAACAAGTTCATTTATAAAAAGTAAAAAGTTTAATAAAAAAAAAAAAAAAAAAAAAAAAAAAAAAATTTTGACTAGTTGGGCATAGATTTAAAACGACTAGAGGCTATACTATTATTTTTATTATTAAATAATGATGATGATAATAATAATAAACAAAAATGATTAATTATTATTATTATCAATGACAGTTTATTATTAAGTACTGCTATTATTATGTAATAGTATATTGTTAACGATATATTATATATATTTGTAGAAGGGAGAGGGTCGCGATTTATAATACTGTTAAATAACGACCAAATGCCTAGTTTATCGATACTATTAATATTTAATAATTAATAATGTCATGCAATTTATAAATTAATAATTCAACCCAATCAGTCGATCGTGTGATGAATAATCTATTCTAAACTATACGGCCAGTATAACTTTTTTTTCTTCCAATATTTATGAGCAAAATTACGCAATGTACAATTGTTAAAAAAAATGAAAAAAAAAAAAAGATACAAGACTATTTATGATACATTTTGAAATTTTTATAATGGACCAAGAGAAAATGAATTTAGAATTATTAAAAAAATGTAATTGAGATACAAAGTGTGTTCAAACGCTTGTAGACTAGAAACTGGCTTGTTATTTATCATTATTGAATTTTTATTTTATGAATTGACAATTGCTGATTCGGTTATGATTATTATTATAAATAATTACAGTGGGTTAAAATAATTAGTCTTAAGGAGGCTACGCGGTCCGTTCTCCCGTAATATATAGCGGCAACTGTTTATTTTGTTTGTTTTATTTTGATTTATTAATATTATAAATAATGACTAATTGAATTTTATTATATATAACTTTTTTTTTTTTTTTATAATTAAATACATTTAATTAATTTTTATTACTTTTATTTGGTTTTTTGTGTCATTGGGCGCGCTTATATTACTATTGTAATAATATATATTGTTATATATCTAAATTAAAAATATACTATTATAAAATATCGATATGACAGCGGCGGCTAGACAGCTTATCGTCTTTAATAGACAAATCACGCGAAACAAGTTTAAACTTGTTAGAAAAAAATAAAAACAAAAGTTATGAATTATGAATAAATAAATATAAAGAGCTAAATAATTACAGACAAAGAATATTAACTAAAAAGCAAAACGGAAAATAAAACAACAAACATACATATGTACACACATTTCATATGATAATCACTGAGAGACTAAGACTAACTCAATTTTTAGACAGAGAAAAGAAATGAAATGATGAATAGAATGGATGAATCATTAACAGTTAATAATTAATTCAATATTAATATGAGGCATTTTGAAAAATATATATTACAATAATTAGTATCAGAATTTAAACGAGTGATTTTTTGTTTTTTTTTTTTTTTAATTAACATACTAAATTCAGTTTCGGTTTTTATTTTTTTATGATTTAAACTAGAACTGTCCGATTTATTAGAGTGTAAGAAATTGGTAAAATACATATATTAAATATTAAATATTAAATATATAAATTTAAAAAATCATATATATATTTAGATATGATCGCTCTAAAAGCGTCATCGGTGGTGAAATTTTTATTAAAAAAAAAAAAAATTATGTTTTGAAAAGGAGGAAACACAGTCAATAATGATTTATGATTTATTAAAAAAAAAAAAGCTCATTGATATATGCATATGACTGCTAAGCAATGTCAATCTTATATGCGTGAGAGAAAATGAGTGGATTATAAAAATAAATTTATAAATAAAAAAAAATTGAGAGAAAGTAAGAGAGAAAATAAATTACGAGGCTTAAAAAGCAGACTGTACTATCAGATAAATTTTTAATATATATTATTATATGATTATATGTATACACATATAAATATATATATATTAAATTGAAAAATTAAAATAATAATAATAATAATAATAATAATTTTTAAAAATCATAGTTTATCTTATAAAAAATATTATTAGTAATTATTGTTCTAAAAGGGACACATTTAATTTGTACTAAAGTACACATGTAATTTTGTTTGTTATTATTATTATTATTATTGCTATTATATTATTATGATTAATTATTATATATTATATGTAAAACAAAAGTTATATCGATTATATTTTAGCGCTAGTTGATAATTATAAATAATAAATAAATATCAATGTCGTTGCAATGAATGAGAAAATGAAAGAAAGAAATCTTATGCGTCAGAAAAACGAATTTTTACGCTCGAGTTTTTGACTTATTATTTATAAATGTTGTGAAAAAATTGCGGATGATTAACGAGTTTAAAAAAATGTTCAAAAAAATTTATAAAATTAAATTGTATTTCAGTGGGAACTAAAATAGTTTAGATAAAAATTAAATCCCCGGTTCGGTGCCTTTTTAATGAAAGAAAAAATGAAGAAAATTTTAATAAATTGTTATTGAAAAAAAAAAAAAAAAGTCATTTTCTCATCCGCGGGTGTGAAAATTGGCCCTCGCGGCCTGCTAGTGCCAAATAAGTGAGACCTTGTGACGTTTAATGGAGAATAAATAAAATAAAATTAAAGTAAGAGCGAAAATGAACGTTATACATAAAATTTTATAGAAAAACTTTTTTAGATCTTAATTAATGTCTTTTCTGACGCTGCAGGTAAAATTAGTATATTTTATATGCACTAATTGTTTGACTATGAACTATGATTATCGATAATAATTATTTAAATTTGAAAAGAACGGTGTTCAGGAGATTATAATGAAGTAACAGAATCAATTAAATATTAATTAATAAATAAATAATAAAATGTTGTTATTTGTAGGCAGAGCACTCTTACCGTTCATCAGCACGATTAACCTAAAGATTTATTTATTTTCTCCAAATCAATGTTTTTTGTTATTATCATTATTATTATTATTACTACTATTGTACTTGTAGCACAATACCAATTTCCTTTAAAATTATTTATTATTAACCTGCTGATTATTTATTAACTGACTACTGTACTGTATACAAGAAGAAATAATAATTATCGTGTGTGCCAACTCATAAATGCATCAGCAGTTAATTATTAAATAAAACAACTAAGCATAGCATAAAATAATAAGTGCACGTTTTAAAATATTGTTACTCACATGTTACATGGTTATTGTACTTTCTGTTAATTATTATTATTTTATTTATTATCCTCATACTGATAATGGAAGTTTAAATACGTGCAGCAATAAAAAGTGTGAAAGAGAATTCAAATTTAAAATAAAACATTTTAACTATTAAATTTATCATTCATATATTCGTAGTATAAAATCATTTTTTTTATACTTACCCATTGCCATGTAATTAATATTATAATTATTTATTATAATTCAATCAAAAAAAATTATTTTTAAATCATTCATATCAACAAACCAAGATTAAGATGACTACTAATCCCACTGAAATAAACGGCTAAGGTAATTACAATCATGTATCACCAGAATGTCATCATTTTTTCAGTAGAATGTTTTTTTTTTTTTTTTTTTTTTTTTTTTTTTTACTTTATGTTTGAGGTAGTTATTTTTTGTAGCGGTTGTAATGTACGGATAAAATTTTTTGTCAGTCCGCACATTTTTATTTATGTCAAAAATTAGATAAATATTTTTTTTTCTGACATTCACTCTTCACACTCCGACTGATTCCTCAGATTTATTTATTTTATTTATCTAAAATTCAATAACATAATTTTTGGATAAATAAATATAATAAATAACTCGTAATTAAAAGCACAGAGTTGCTTTAGCCAAAAATTATGTTTTAATTAATTTTTTTCAATAACTCGTCTTGGAATTTTTTAAAATTTTTATTAAGAGATTATTAATTTTTTTTTAAAAAAGACGATTTAATTGAAAATAATTAAATAGTAGTTGTAAGATTTTGAATTTCTGTTCTTATATTTTATTATTACCCGCAAAATTATGTAGCGTAATTATAATTATTGAAAAGTTTACAATGAATTTTGTTTTGCATGTTGCGTAATGGTTGTTAATTTATGATTTGTTTAAGTACACTTTTTTAATTATTATTATTATATATTATCGAATACTTGAGGACTGAGAGCTTGGCGAAAAAACAAACTCAGCCGGCGGAAAATCTAAGTCATCTGAATTTTCGCGGCTGAGTTAAAGAAATAAATAATTATAAAGGAAGTTTTAAATTAAAATCTAAGTGTAGGTTACGTGTAATATAAATATAATAAATATATTAATTAATATATGTTAATTGAACCTGTGGCCATGAAATAATACAGTACAAATATAAAGACGTTTATTATTTACTAAATTAGATGAAAGGGGGCCAGTACAAATTGCATTAAAAATTATCGTCTTGCTAGTCCTCAAGGATTCTTTAAAATTTTATTTATGTTTTTCAGCTATATTATTATTATTATTATAAACAAAGTAAGGGCATCGATAAATTAATCTTTTGATTTAATATTATTAAAAGAATATAATTTTTTTTTATATATTAATCTACCTGTAATTGAAATTCAATAGATTAATTTTTCGTTGTAAAGACTTTTAAGTTTAGAGGTTTATTTAAGTTAACGAGAGATTCTTCGGAGTCAAAATACTCGTAATTATTTTCAAAGTACACTATAATTGTATGATTTATTATTATTATTATTTTTTTGTTTGTAGATATATTGTGCTATGATTTTATTATATTATTATGCGGCCGTTTATACGTGTTGTTAAATATATATTGAATATCCCGAAATTATTCATACGCATGAATAAAATATAAATATATCTTTACATACATATATTTATATTATTACAATTATAAACGTTGTCGCGCAATTATTAAAGTGGTATAATTTTATTTTATGTCTTTTTTTTATTTATTTGCACTCCTTTATTCCTTTTTTATCATATAATTATTATTTTTTTGTGTAAATTTCAATTTTTTTTATTTCACAAAAAATTTTTTATCAAAAATTTTAGAATTTTTATAACAAATTAATTTAGTATATAAAAATTCTCATTGAAATTTTTTTTTCAATTTCTATGTGTAGAATTTTCATTAAATTTTTTTTTCATAATAATTTAGTTATAAAAATTCTTAAATATAAATTTCAATATCATAAAAAATTTATTATTTAATTAATAATATTATTTGATACATTATTTTAATAAAAAAAAAAAAAAAAAAAAAAAAAATGCATGAAATTAAAAGAAAAATTTACTAATCCAAAACTAATTTTCCAGAGTACTCATCAAAACCGGAAACGAATGCCGACAAATCACGAAGTCGTGATTCATTGAACGGCAGAACAAGCTCGCCATTATCAACATCAACAATGGACTCATCGCGGTCGACTCCAACGACCCCGTCGACGCCATCGAGCACCCCGACGACAACCTCGAGCACCGGAGTAACATCTTTGAACGTGAACACAATGACGACAATAACCACAGCGACGACCACGACAACAACCCCGACGACAACGTCAGCCCGCAGCGCTTCAGCATCTCCAGCTAGCAGAGCTGGCCAACCAAACCAGAGTCCCTCTGAAACGAGCGCTTCCAACCCCGGGAACAACAACAACAACAACAACAACAACAACAACAACAACAACAACAACAACAACAGCGCCCTGGGTGCAATGTCAGCTCCAACTGGCCGTCAAGTGCCCAAACGTCGCATGCGACGACGAGCGACGTCCCAGTCTCAGGACCCCGCTGAACAATTGACAGAAATGTCTGTCCGTGGTCTAAATCTCTTCCGCTATGCCTCGATATCCGAGGGAGTCTATCAGTGTACTGAATGCGCAAAACTAGACATACAGAAGACCTTCAAAAACAAGTACAGCTTCCAGCGACATGCATTCCTCTACCACGAGGGACACCAGCGGAAGGTATTCCCTTGCCCGGTTTGCGGCAAAGAATTTTCCCGTCCCGACAAAATGAAGAACCACATGAAAACAGTCCACGATTGTTTCATGCCCAAGGATTGCGTGGTGCCTTTTGGTTTCTTCTTGCCGCCCTAGTGTGTCTATTTAAATTCATTTTTAAAAAAACGATCACTGGTTTATTAAATTCTGTATAATTAAATATTTAAGCAAGGAAAGATACGAGTATTGGTAGAGTAATTAAACAACAAGTTAAATAAATAAATAAATAAATAAATTAATTAATTAATTATTCGCTTCAATTAGGTATCTTTAATACCTAATATTTTCGTTAGATTGTTAACGTGTATTAATATCAATTAAATAATTGAAAAAAGCAATATAGCTAAGTGTAGTTATAGTAGAGATTTATTTTTAATAAGTTATACGATTTTTCAAAATTAATAACTTTATATTAATATACATATCGTTAATTTGACCAAGTGATTTCGCGATACGATTTATCGGTCGTTTTATTTTTATTTTTTTTCCTCTAATCTAATTCGGTTTTATCAATTTCTTTTTCTTTATTTTTTAATTCACATTTGTTATAATCATTAACAATATTATTATCATTATTATTATTATTATTATTATTATTATTATTATTATTATTATGACAATTATAATTAGACGTAAAATTAATTAAAGAGGCAAATAATTTTCGCTAATATATATTTATATTATTTTTTTTAATCTTCAGTCTTTCCCGGTTTAAAAACGAATTCCAATGGTGCGAAACGTTTGCTGACGTTAGCTGATTCGTTCTTGCAAAATAAGTGTCCAAGTGATGCTTATTATTTTCATTTATTATTATTATTATTATTAATACTATAATTATGAGTAAAGAGTTATAAAATTTATTAATATAACAATGACGAGAATGGTTTCATTTTGCGTTTCGTACTGCCCAGCAGTATTCGTGGTATTCTGTATAGTTTTGTTCAGTACACTGTATTATAGAGTGCTTTCTCGCACAAATATATTAATTATTATTATTATTATTTTTCTTAGTTAATTAGTGGTGCACTTATCAACTGATAAGCATTATTAGTTATTAATATTTTTTATTGTTACTGTTTCTATTTACTTTCCTCATTTTTATTATCATTATTATTCTTATTATTATATTGTATTAGTATATAAGTAACATTAGCAATTCATTAAAGCAAATTGTTATAAATTATTGATACTTAAGGCAATATATAAGACGCACGCATGTGACAATCATTTTTTATAAAAAGAAGAAAAATAATTAAGAATTTTTAGGTATAATGGGCTGTTGTTAAAAAAAAAAAAAATTGTTACAGTTAAAATTTTTAAGTGATACATTTTTAATCTTGAAATTTTTCTATAGATATGTTATCTTTTAGATGTAAGAATTTCTGATAAAAACAAATTAGATTTTAGACAAGTCTTCCAAAAGCCAGCATACCAGGAAGAAATAAATACACAACCTGAATATGTCTTCCTATTTATATTCTAAGCCCGAAATTATATGTAATTAAATATTAAATAAATGAAAAATATCTACATATAATATAATTAATAACAATAATTTTTTTATTTTATATATATATATATATATATGTATTATTTAGGAATCCTCGTCCATGCGAGCGTCTCTAGACAAAATAACTTCCTAATTGTCAATTATTACGATTTATAAAAATATATCTATTATTATTATTATTATAAAAAAAAAAAATAATTACAAATTGTGATTGTAATGATAAAGAAGAGGAAAATTGAGGGTATCTTTTTTGAGACACAAATTAATTAAGCGAATAATTGAATGTGTTAATCTCCTTATAATTTTATTCAATTTCACACGTTGCACTTTCTTTCCTTATGGATTTCATTGCGTTTCTATTTTATCTTTATATTCTATAAATATAAATATTATTATTATAATTTTTAAATATATATACAATTATAAAAAAATATATATCTGCGATTATCCATCGTGAAAATTAAATATTTTACTTATTACTATTTAAAGAAGAATATAAATAACATCGGGTTAGTAAAGTCGGGTATAAGCGTCAAAAGCTTTGTTACAAATAAAAAATGATAAAAATAATAAAAAAAAAAAAAAAAAAAAAAAATATGCGCACTTACACATTAAGAGAGTTTTTAAATAAAATGAAGTAAAACAATAATTATTATAAATAGCACTTAGAACTACAAATTAATAATAACAATTTATTATGTAAACGATGAAAATATTTTATTAAACGTTGATACACAGAAAAAATATGTATAGTGATTGTAAGAGTGTAATTTTTTAATTCTTGTTGTTCTTAAATATTACACTCGTAGGGATTATACATAAAGACTAAGTTATGTAATTAATTAAAAAATACATGTGAATAATTTTACTAATTATTCAATTGCATTCGGATGTGTTTGAGCTCTTATTTAATATTCAAATTTATTTTTTAATATACTGTTCTTAAAATTGGTATTTTCAAATTAATAAAAAATTTAATTATATTTTTAAATATAACCATAAAGAAATTTATATGGGTTAGTTATAAACGTCAGTATTCATTTTGAAGAGAAAAAAAAATTTGTTTAATTAACAAATTGATCAAAAATTTAATGTTATTTTTAAAAATATTTAACTAAAAACATTTCCGAGTGCACTATGTATATTATTGTTTATAAATTATTTGGATCTACTTCTTCCATTGTTAAAAAATAAATTATATAGAGTCGCAACAATATTATTAAAAAAATCTACGCACAAATTACAATCACCGCAGCCGCAATAATTATTAATTAATAAATTATATAGCCAGCAGTCCATCGTTAAAGTCCATATAAAGGACAAATGTAACAACAAATTAAATAAACAAATTATATTATCTATATTTATAAATTTATAATAAAATATATATTATATTTTGTTATTTTATGTTGTATATTTACCATTGGTATAGATGGACTCGTAAATTTTAATAAATAAATAAAAAAAATAACTAAATAATTGTTCGTTGACTATAATTAATTAAAAACAGCAATGTGCCTTGTAATTTCTTGGTGCCTGCGGTGGGGAGATGCGTCTAATTAATAAAACAAATTTTATTCATTAATTTCAATAAATATTAATATTCTAATTTGTTTTTTATTCATTTATTTTATTTTATTTGATTTAAAATAAAATAAATAAATAATAATTGTAATCATTGTAACTTTTTGTGTGATATACATTGCAATAGTCTACCCGACCGCGAGCGTTTTATGTACGAGCACACTTTGATTTAATTAACACAAAGTAATAAATAAATAAATAAATATAATAAATAATTAAAGATTTAGTTGATTGTTAATAAAATTAATAAGACCTCTGCTTGATTTTTTAACACTATTAATTACAATTACAATTAACAATACTAACAAAATTAATCAGTGATACCGATTTAATTGCAGACTACCTGTTACCAAACTTACCAACAGATATCACCTTCGAAATTTGCACGCTGCCGTCGAGACGAGAGTCGTCGTCTCCTGGAGCAATTGATGACACAGTTATCACGACAACGACTTCCACGGCGATGGTTATCGACGACAGTGGTAACGGTAACGGTGAATGCCCTGGTACCGGAAATTGTGACAATGAAGATATTGATGATGAAGAGGTGGAAGGCGGTAATAGTCGCGGAATAGAGTCACATACTAATAGCAATTATATCAAAACTGAGCGGATGGTAAGCGGGATTCATTTTCTTACCACCGATCATGAAGATGATGACCGTAATCAAGATCTTCTTGTTCCGAAATCGGAAACTCCGAGTGATACTGAGCCGGAAGTTAGAAAACAGGTTGGTTTTTCTTGTACCCGCCTGAAACGTATTAAATTAAAATATTGTCGAATTTAGTATTTTTGTTATCAATGTTTATTATATATGAAAATTAAGTTAGCTGACATTTAATAATTTTTTTTAGTTAAAAAATTATTAAAAAAAAATTAAATTTGTAAAAAACTCCAAGTGCAATTTTAAAAAAATATTTTTTAGTTCTAATTTAATAAAAAAAAAAAAAATTAAAAATGTCAGCTAACTTTAGTATTATGTTTATTATTTGAAATTTAATTTAAAATGTTAAAAAAAAAAAATTTATTTAAAAAATTTAGTTTATGATTTAATTAAAAAAAAATTTTTTTTAACTTCAAACAAAATTTGTTCAAACATTTTTTATCTAAAAAAAATTTTTTCTTTGTTTTTAGACACTTAATTTTTTAAATTAATTTATTATTATTTAAATTTTAATATGTTTTTTAATTTTAAACTAAGTTAGTTTAATTTAAATTATTAATTATAATTATATTAACACACATATGTAAAAAAGAAGCTTCAAATAAAAAAGAATAAAAAAAAAAAAATTAAAATTGAAGTGCGAAACTACACCCGACACTTATAAATTTATTTGTGAGATGAATATAGAGTTCATCATCATAAAAAATTGCGTTATTTTACAAGCTACTGGAATACATGATCCAGAACGACGGTTCAGTAATCTGCAAGTGGTGCGGAGAAGTCTTGCCATCAAGAACGAGGTGGTACCGGCATAAGTACAAACTCCACGTGTCTACCCAGGTAACACAGCCCGCGCCGCTTTTCAAGTGTCACAGTTGCAATGCGTACTTTAAGTCGAGGAAGGGCTACATTGGTCATCTAAGCTCCAGGCACTCTTCTGATAACGACAACAATGAGAATGATGAAAATCGGGAAGAACCTGTCAACAAAAAAACGAGGAGAGCTTCTGATGTTTGTATTTCTTCTTTTACTATTTTTATTATTTATTTTTAACTAAATAATTACTTAAATTTTTTTTTTTTTAATTTAGATTGGAAAAGGACCTGATTGGGAACAGCAGAGAGAAAAAGAAGAAAAATTAGTTGCTGATATAATTGATAGAGTGAAGAGAGAATGCGAAGCTCAGGGTGAAACTGTTACAAGGCGCGGTTACTCTAGAAGGACAACAGTTATGAACAGCTAAAATTAAGCCAAATAATTGTTACGATGTGCCAAAATTAAGTCTTCTTTGGTGTTTAAGATTTAAAATTATAAATGTTAATAATAATTTTTAAAATCGGGTACTATTAATATTTCTCTATACTTAAATCAACTTATAGAGTTGATTTCTACAAACTCTTTAGCATAAGTTAAGTATTATATATTTGCGTGCATGCATTTGTAAATAATTTTAAAATTAAATTGGTCTATATTTATCGCATCTAAGAAGAAAGCAACAATTAAAGAAGACAAAAATTTTACAATTATTCTTCTTTTAATTAAATAATTTACATATTATATTCTTCATATTTTATCAATAATTGTAAAGAAGAAATTTATTTTAAAATTACCTTTATGTCTTCATGAATCTAAAGAACCGATATAATATTACAATATTTAAAAAAAACTCGCATTAATTGCGAATTCAAAAATTAATTCAGTGCCAAAATGAAAACTTGAAATTAATAATAGAATTCAAAAGTACCTACATGTATTTACAGTTTAATTGCTTACTAATTAGTGAGGCGATTGCTCAAAGTAAATTTCGGAACAAGTCTTCTTATGCACGTCGTTTATTTTTTAATTAGTCTTTCATTGATATTTTACTTTTAAAAAGTAATAGATAAATATGATCAAAACACCAATTAAATGTTTCGAAGTGATAGAATAGAAATATTTTAAAAATCAACATATTAATTGTAATTATAATAATAATAATAATAATAATAATAATGATAAAGAAATTAACAGCAGGAGATGTTAATAATCTAAATAACAAATATAAATATATATGATTCATAATTAGCAGTCGCTAATTAATCCAAAGTCTGTCCATCGTTTCTGTGTTTGAAAGTATTTTTTTTTAATCAATCTGGGAGGAGAATAATAATGAGCTATATTTTTAATTGTAAATTTTATTATATAGAAATCAAATACTTGATACTTTTATTGAGTTGTCTTGCATTTAAAAACTTAAGATATGTGAGGTACATATAATATTCCTAAGCTCATCACCCAGCACCTCAATTATGTAAATAATAATGTAGATAGTTAAAATCTTTGCTCATCGTCTTTTAATCTATTGTAATTAAAGTAATCAATTTTTTTTTTTTGAAGAAGCTATACAAGAATCTTTGAATTTATTGCCAAAGGATCTTCCAAATTATATTTTATAATTATTGATTTAAATTATAAGTACTTTAAAAATCAGTGAGCTAGTTTATAACAATTTAAATAAATATTTATATATTCTGTGATTAATTTTTTAGCTCAATGCAATTTTTTAATAGTTACTTACATAAATATTTAAGTAATTACAATTACTTATTTTGAATTTGTTGATTTTTTTTTTGTATATTTATAAATATTAAGTTAAAAAAAAAATCTGAAAACTATGGCTCTCAATTGAAATTATATTACTAAAGTTATATTAATAAAAATTGCAGAATGGAAATTGAAAAATATTAGAGAGGCTGTTGCCTAATAATTGAAGATAAAAATTCATATTCGTGTCAAAAATATATGCATATATTGAAATTGAAAAATATTTATTTATAAAAAAACAGAATATTTCGGACATTCGCGAGGCATTATATAAGTAAGGTAATGTTTAATTGTACAGTAATTAATTGATAATTAATTAATAGGTAAAACAGACAAACGACAAACTAATAATAGTATTGATGTTAAATCAATATTGAACAAAAATACAAAATTGTAGTACCTCTATATACAATTTAAAATAATAATAATAATAATAATAATAATAATTAATAATGGAAGAAGAATGCAAAAGAAAAGCCAATTGTCCAGATGATTTCAAATTATGTCAAAGTATCAATAGATTGAACAATTGCAATTTGTAATAGTAAGATTTTTGACGTATTTTGTGAATTGTCGTCCCACAAGGCAAATTTCAAAATAATTTTAACGAAAATACTGTGCATTTTATGGAACAAAAAAAATAAAATCAAAACAACTGATCAATTAACTCTCTACTTTGTTTTTTATTTACCTTTACGAATTTTTGATGCAGTGAACTTCAATTCTTGACTCTTTTTTAAATTATGATTATTTTTAATTATTATAATAATAATAATAAGAGATATTATTTGCACAACACTTGGTGACTTTAAAAAATTTTTAATGATCTGCTTAAATATATTCTTCATTACAATTTAATTAGAGGATACTTTTTTTTTTAATTTGCACCTGTAATTTTTTTAATTTTTAGCTGTGGAATTTTTTATTAACATTTTTTCTTCTTCATTTTTCTTTTTTTTTTATATTTTGCACTTCTAGCATGCTAAAAATTTATAACACTGAAGTTAGCCGTCAGCTGTCAATTTTGGAATTTTTTTAACAAATAAATTGAAGTATAAATATGCTTTTAAAAATTTTTACTTGTAATTTTTATTAATTTTCACATGTGGAATTTTTTAATTATATATTTTTTATAATAATTTAATTATTATTAAATTCTGAAAAAATTTTTAATGTCTGTCATCTTCATGAAAATAAAGTTAGCCGACATCTAAAGAATTTTATGATTTTTCATATCAAAGAATTATTAGAAAAAAAGTAAAAAAAAAAATTTTTTCATTTGTTATAAACTACAAAAACTACAAGTGGAATTTTTTAAAAATATTTTTTAGTTATAATTTAATAAATTAAGCAAAATAAAAAAATCAAAAATGTCGGCTAACTTTATTATTATGTCATCTTCAGTGTCATCAAAATATTTGTCTCTGACATTTCATAAAATTAAAAAACAGCGCAAATTTTTACTCAGTACACACACGAGAATCACAACTTGTCAACAGAGACCTCTATAAAAGTATAGTGCGTTTAATTTAATAATAATAATCAACAAATACAATTCCTACAATACCTACATTGCCTCTCTCGTTGATTTCTCAGAGATTTTTCGGCGAAAAGAGGGGAATATAAAGTGAGTGCAACAATCTGAGCTACTCTTAAAAAATAAACCAAGCGTTCTTCCGTCTCCGTCTCCATACTCCATCCTGCTCCGGCTCCTAGTCCGTAGTCCGTAGATATGTTCATGTTGATCGGTGTATACAGCGGTAAGCTACAGCGTCCATAGTTTGTTCACCGTCTACAGCTATTGTATATATGTTGTGTACTTGTCTGTGTAGTGACACAGGATCTACAGGGGGTATCAGTGCGTAAAAAAACGCTACTACATTAAATAAAACTCAATGAATTAATAGTGCATGAAAAAAAAAAAACTAAAAATGCTCTTAAAAAATAACTCATTAGAGTTGTGGTGACTGCAAGCTCGTGATTGTTGCGGTGATAAGTTACCCCTAAAATAAAAAGGTTAAATAATATATATATATATATATATATTTAAAAGGACGAGGATGGGCAACTGGGCGCTGGATCTCGTTATCGGGACTACTGTGCTCCTCGGGTGGATAATAATAACGGGTGGGACCACAGCAGCACTTGAGGTACAGGAAGAGTTGAAGCACCACGGAAGATGTGAGCCAATAACTATTAATTTGTGTCTGCACTTGCCTTACAATGAGACAATAATGCCCAATCTGCTGAAGCACCAGAAGCAGGAGGATGCAGGTCAGGATATCCATCAGTACGCCCCGCTGGTTAAAGTTCACTGCAGTCCTGACCTTCGTTTCTTCTTGTGTCTGATGTACGCGCCAGTTTGCACTATTTTGGAGAAACCATTGCCACCTTGTCGGTCTATCTGCGAGAGAGCCAGAGCCGGCTGCGAGAGGATCATGAGGAACTTTGGGTTCCAGTGGCCACCGAGTCTCGAGTGCTCCAAACTTCCCGAGTATGGTGACCCTGACGAACTCTGTGTGGGAAACAACGAGACGTCTTCATCGTCAAGACTGTCAACGACGATCCAGCCTCCTCATAGGATGAGACCTGCCTGGAATGACGGACACATCCCCTACGCAGGAAATGCAATTGCTGTTCCAGAGTACGAGAACAGAAAGTTTGTCTGTCCGGTTCAATTTCACGTGCCTGAAAGCTACGGCTATTCCCTAAACTTCAAGACAAAGCCAATTCCCAATTGTGCTGCTCCGTGCAATGAGATGTTTTTCACTGAACAGGAAAAACAGTTCGCCAGAGTATGGATCGGGACTTGGGCGTCGATTTGTGCTGCTTCGTGCTTTTTCACTTTCTTGACCTTCCTAATAGACATGGACAGATTTAGGTAAATAATTGATAATTAATTTATTAATGCTCTAATTTAGGATGAATTTATATTTAAGTATTGAGTGTTGGCCAAGCGACAATAAATTAAACGTAAATTTTGTTTTTATTTACATAAGTAGATATCCCGAGAGGCCTATAATATTTTTATCGGTGTGCTATCTGATGGTTGCGCTGGTATACGTCGTGGGATGGGCCGCAAAAAATAACATCGCCTGCAGACAGCCTCTCCCACCGCCTGATAACATGCAACAAGTGCAAATGGTATCTACGATAACACAAGGAACTAAACACGAGCTCTGTACTCTGCTATTTATGGTACTTTATTTCTTCGGGATGGCATCAAGTATATGGTGGGTCATTCTCACTCTCACGTGGTTCTTGGCTGCTGGATTGAAATGGGGACACGAAGCTATTGAAGCTAATTCGCAGTATTTTCATCTTGCTGCTTGGGCTGCTCCGGCTATTAAGACAGTCACTATTCTGGCTTTAGGCAAAGTTGACGGTAATTTTATTATATTTAAAAATCAATATTTTATCCCCTAAATACCCTAGAGCAGTTACGGCTGTCTAATTTTAAAACACAGTAACTGCAAAATTTTTATACCTGATTTTTTTTTCTTTTTAATATTGCTGCATTTTTTATAACTTTTAGACCTTAATTTCAAGTATTTTTTTTTTTTTAAATATTTATATTCAAGTATTAGCTGACCCGGTGAACTTCTTATCACCTACAATATATTTTATTATGTATTTATATTTAAAAATAAATATCTTATCCCTAAAATACCCTAGAGCAGTTCCTAATTTGTTCAGAGAATTACTTTTTATGTAAGGAATAAATTTAGCAAGTAAAAATATCCAAAAAAAAAAAAGTACAATAATACTAATACTAATATTAATTATTTTTAATTTAATTATACAGGAGATGTGCTCTCTGGAGTATGTTACGTTGGGATATGGAATGTTGACGCGCTGCGTGGTTTTGTTTTGGCTCCTCTGTGCGTTTATCTGGTCCTAGGAACAGCTTTCCTCTTAGCCGGATTTGTCTCACTGTTCCGCATTCGCACGGTGATGAAACACGACGGTACCAAAACAGACAAACTTGAAAAGCTAATGATACGAATTGGCATTTTCTCGGTGTTATACACCGTACCAGCGCTGATTGTCATCGCCTGTCTGTTCTACGAGCAAGCATACTTTGACGACTGGATGTTAACTTGGCACGACGACATGTGCCGAGGACAAGTGACGAAAGCTTACTACTCAATACCCTGTCCATTCAGCAAAGGACCGCCAGAACCAGTACGTCCAGAATTTCCGGTATTTATGATAAAATATCTGATGGCAATGATCGTAGGTATCACCAGCAGCTTCTGGGTATGGTCTAGCAAGACTCTTACCAGCTGGAGACAGTTTATAAATCACATACGGGGCCGTCGCGTTGAGGCTTACGTTTAATTAACACAAAAGACTTTAACAATTATTCACGTATGACAACATCTACGTTTTCAATTAAGATTATTATATACACGACTATATATCCGTGAGTTATCATTTTATATTTAAATTACTGTAACAATTCGAGGATTATCATTGATCAGTTACTCGCTAGTTTTATTTATTTTTATTTTATACGTCTTATATTATTAATTATTTTTATTTAAAGCATGTTAGGCATGTGTTGTGATCAGGTTTTGTTAATCAAAATTATTTATCAATTATTTTTTTTATTGGAAAACAAATTGACCTTAGCACCGTGCCAATTTATTTAAGCTTTCTTTTATTTAATAACTTATTCAATTTAATAATTATCAGTGTAATTGTTTAGATGCACACATGCGACATTAGTTAAAAAATTAACGCTTCCAATGTTATAATAACACTTCAGAACGCACTTTCATTTTTCTACAGTAATAATATGACATGATATTAAATTGACAATTAAAGTAAAAAAAATTACTTGTTTTTGACGAGTCTAGATTTTTTTTTTTTTTTTTTTTTTTAATTTTTTTTTCGACCAAATATATCCAATAAATTTATCTAAACAATTACTATTATTAATTATTAAACTGAAATTTTATTTTCAAAAGACAATTCCAGTAGTGATAATTTATTTGTTCTAATGCTCAAAATTAAATTAGTTATACTCATTAAATACTCATCCAATACGTCCATTAAATAGTTTTTCTATTTATTTGGAAGATTGTATTATTATTGACTTTGTTTTTTATTAACAAACAGGTTTAATATACGCTTCAAAGGAATCTCACTCCTTATATATACTTTTTTTTTAAACGAACAAAAACGAAAGACTTGATACTATGAATCTTTTTTTTTATTAAAGTTAAGATTAACGCTAAGACTTTGTCACATTTTTTATAGATTTTTTAAATAAAAATATGTGCTGCTGTATTATTCAGGTAATAATTGTATATAAATGCAGCTTTTGCTATGTATTATAATATTTTTTTAAATAATATGTGTAAATATTTGAAAGAAAAAAAAGTAAAGTTTAACAATGAAATGGTTCAATTTAGGTACAAGAATTATTATAATTAATTAGTTCAATCAATCCTGATGAAAAAGTAATAATTATTGTAATAAAAAATTATTAAGCAGTTGAAAATTAATGCATTGATGTTTGAATGTGAATAAAAATAAAGTAATTCGTCCAAGGAAAAAAATCGTCGAGCTTTTATATATATTTGTGTATGTGTGTCGTTTGTATGAGCAAGTATGTGCTTTTAAAAAATTTTAAAATGTTTAAATAATCAAAAGAAATTTATAAGTATGGTTTTACAAAAAAAAAATGAACAAAAGAAACAAGACCGTGTATCAATGTTTATTATACACGTACAATGTCATATATTATACGTAATATTGTGTAAAATTATAAGCATTATATTCTTTATATTATAATAAAAATAAAAATGAAATCATATAGTCATTTTTCATTTAATTTGATACTCCGTACATAATAATGAAAATATTATTCTTTATTTTTTATTCAAGCAGTTCAAAGCCAATAATAGAAGCCCTTAAAAATACAATATTATGCAATAAAAACATATACAATATATGAAATAAAAAAAAATTACATAAGTTTTATATTACTAAATAAATTAATATCAGCCTGCTAGTGATATTAACTGGTAAGCATTTATTGTTTTAATTAAGAAATGACCTTGTATCTCGTGAACTATTGACATTTTTAAAGATATTAAGCTCATCCCGATGTTACACTCATCAAGACCTTTCATTTGAGTACCCACATCAATTTTTCATATATTTTATATATTTATATTATATATATATGTATAAGTATATGAAAAATATATGAAAATGCATGTGGGTACTCAAATGAAATGACTGCAGGTTGTTAGTTATACTTATTTTCTTAATCATTAAAATTTCATTTTCATTTTAAATCTAAATTTATTTTTCATAAAATAATAATAATAATAACAGTATTTATAGCTTGATGAATATTTTTATTAAACCAAAAACCTACACCAATTTTTTCGATACAAAAGATATATAAACTATATTAGTTATAAGCATTAGTTATTATGGTCACGTTTTGGTAACTTTTTTAGAAAGAATACCAATTTTGCGTAGATATTTAACGATGAATGGTGTTGCTCCTAGAGTTATTGATATTCTTACCGGAGCAAATAACTTGTGTATTGCGTACGCTATTAGAAATGTTGATGAGTTGGTCATAACATTCTCCAGTCGTTCACTTGAACTAGTGGGAAGCATTTTAACAAATGCCTGAATGTCTAAGCCACTGAAATAAAAAATAGGAAAGTTATTATTTATTCCAGTAAGTAAGTAAGTAAGTAAGTAATTGGATGGCATAAATATTACAATGAAGAATGATAATTATTTTAAAAAGTTTAGAAGAGTTATTGAGTTATAAACAAGAAAGCTGGTGATTAACTTAAAGTTATGATGTTAATAATAGCGTACCTATAAACAATAAGGTAAAAAATACCAAGTGACATCAATGATATTGTTACATGGAATACAATTACAGTACTTCCATAATCCTTTACAGCCCTTTTAAGCTTCTGAGCGTTTGTTAATTTTTCATCCGACGATGAAGAAGCTGATAAATCTTTTGATGGATCCGTTTGTTTACTATCCGTTGAATAATGAGCAATCGTCGATGATAAAGTACCTAGGCGGAAAAATTGACGGGGAATTGATTGCGACAGTAGACCTCCACCACCGATTTATTTTTCCCGTGTTAAATTATTCAGATACTATAGAACCAGATTGAAAATTACGTAAGCCGCTATATTGATATTTTCTTTGTATCATTTTTTAGCATTAATTTAAATAAACAATGATCAGTAAGTAAAATTAGCAATAGTTGTGATAACTCAAACTTACTTTTAGACAAGTTTGGATTTTTATTTTTCAGCACTGCATAATGGGCTTTTTGCATATACTCAGCAATGTACTTGCTGTCTCTGGTCCATTGTCCTCCGGGCATGTTCAAGTAAGTGGACTTGCCAGCAGCGCAAAAAGGCTTCGGAACCATTGTTTGCATGCTACTGTTCAAGCTCACTGCTCCGAAACAATCATAAGAAGCCACATGGGAGTCGATGCATCTCAATCCGGCCCATCTTGATGAGTTAAGACGATCACACGCTCCATTTGGCCCGTTAATTAGTGACAATACTGGAGCTGTTATATCTCTAGCACGCTCTGGAGTAAAACGACCTGTCTCGTTGCCAAATATTTCAGAAACGTTCCTCGGTAAAGGTATTTGCGGTGCTTCCGGATAGTTGCGCACTCTTGACACATGGAAATTTACTTTTTTCGAAATGTTTACATGCATTTCAATTAATTTTTTTGACTGCATGGTAACTGTAAGCAAAGTTTTAGAATTAATTTAATTATTTTATTTTAAATGAAAATTAAGTTAGCCGACATCTAAAACAATTAGAATTTTTTTTGTTAAAAAAATTGTTACAAAAAAAAAAATAAAATAAAAAATTTCATTCGTAATAAACTTTAAAAACTATAAGTGCAATTTTTAAAAATCTAATGATTTTAAATTATTTTTTACTCATTTATTTTAATAATTGATTTTTTTTAAATAATTAAAAAAGTTATTAAGTAAAAAAAAAAATTACCTGGATAATTAAAGTGATTAAAAATGGACGGAAATTCTCTAGAACATCTAATTCGTGACAAAGCCATTTTACTTTCTCCAAAACTTAAATAACGGCAAAACAGATACTTATGACAATTCGTTGAACCCAGCGATTTTTTTTGCTTGGTGATAACTGCGTCACAAAAACAAAATACAATATTTATAAATTAGTAAAAAAAATAAATCATGACAAATAAAATTATAATAACTTACGTATGCAGTGAAACTGACATTTGATACGAAATAAGAGATTTCTAGAACAGGAATAAATGCTTGAATATGATTAAAATTTTTAATTGATATCGAGAAATGTGTTTATAAGTTTTAGTATATTTATATAAATACATACTGTTGTCCACAAACCAGTATAGTATCCAATATAGTTGCTAACGTTTGCCGCTGTGTAAAAAAAAATACGACCTCGAAATTCCCCCACCTAAACTTATAACTACAATATTTATTTAAGTGTTTTTTAAAGTATTAAAAGTGCATGACGTAAAAACACGCCTTACTAAGTATTATGCTAATGAAGATATTAAATTACAATTTTACTCAGAGATTTTTATACAGAATTCAAATACTAGAAATAAAATATTGTTAAAATTCCCGGCTTTTTTTAAATGCATAAAATATATTAAAGTTATTTATTAAATACGCAGTACAATGCCGGTAAATATTTTTACGAACTTTCATTAATTTAATATAAATATAAAATTGCTGATAATCATTTGATAACCTAATTAAAATTTTTCTTAGCAGTTGTTACGACAGAAAAATATTATTTGATTGAATGAATAAATATATATTTATCATAAATATGAGGAACGCGCGCAGCTTTTCAGTGTGTTGGACATGTTAGATATGTATATTCACTGTAAATCTTTGGACATATCAACAAGAAGCGACACTAGCGCAAAGCATCAAGGCACAGCTGTAAGCTGTATCAGCGCATCATCAGTAAACCAGTAGTTCTCATACGTTTTTATTATCGTGTTTGGTCACGTCGTCCCTCTTCTACTAGTTCACTTACCAGAGATACTTACTCGTTAAAAAGAGTACATTTGTGAGCATATTGTGTTCAAAGAAAGATATTCACTGCCGCTAATTAAATACTGTATTGTATTAACAAGATTTTATCTGAGTTCACATAGGAAACCTTTTTTTTTTTTCAGACAATTATTTGAAAGTTATTATGGCACAAAGCACAAGATTAATGTCATTATCGTCGTTACCCGGTGGATTATTGAGAAATCGTACCAATGGAGTTATTTCAACTTCTTCTAGACTTGCCAGGTACTTGTCATTTTTTATCGCTTTGATTATATTATTATAATCTTTGAGTTTGTGTCAATTAGAGGACAAGTGGCTTTATTTATTTGACCTTGCACGAATCTGTACAATTATCTCGTAAATAATCTGTTTTTATTCAATTATAATTACTTATTGATAGCTCGTGGTGGTCACATGTGGAAATGGGCCCGCCTGACGTAATCCTGGGGGTAACCGAGGCCTTCAAGAGGGACACTCACCCGCAGAAAATAAATCTGGGTGTTGGAGCTTACAGAGATGATAATGGAAAACCTTTCTTGCTGCCCAGTGTTTTAAAAGTGAGTTTATAATTGCTTTTAGTTTAAGTAGTAATGTGTTTCAAATGTTTAATTGAGAATAATTGATATTCTTCTAGGCGGAAGAAAGAATTAGGGCGAAAAAATTGGATAAAGAATACTTGCCTATTTCTGGTGAACCTAATTTCTGTACTAACAGCATTACCTTGGCACTTGGAGATGGTAATGATGTCGTAGCTAATAAATTGGTAAGTGATTTTATTTATTTTGCACAAATCAAGTGTATAAAATATTTTTTTACTCAATTTGAAATATTTTAATTAATAAAATTGATTAAATATAGAACACAACTGTCCAAGGAATCTCCGGTACAGGATCATTGTGTATTGGTGCATTTTATTTGAGTAAATTTTTCCCTGGTAACAAAGAAGTTTACATGCCAACACCAACATGGGGAAACCACATTCCTCTATTTAAACTAGCCGGATTAACTCCAAAATCTTATCGTTATTATGACTCGAAGACTTGCGGATTAGACTTCCAAGGAGCTCTAGAAGACATTTCTGTAAGTTAATAATTTTTAGAATTTTTTTTTACAAGTAAATTATGGCAAAAAAAAAATATAAAAAAATTGATAGGCGCGCAGTAGCCTATCGGATCCGACCCTTGCTACCAAAGCATTGGACCGGGTTCGAGTCCGGCGTACACCAATGAATATTTTCAATATTTAAATGTATTATTCTGCTCAGCCCAAGAAATATAAACGAGTTCCAATCTCAAAAGTTTACCAATGAATATTTTCAATATTTAAATGTATTATTCTGCTCAGCCCAAGAAATTAAACGAGATTCCAATCTCAAAAGTTTACCCCCTACCGATAGTCGCTCATGACCTTAGTAGTTATGCAAACTTTAAACAAATTCAAAAAAAAAAAAAAAAAAAAAATTGACATGTAGAAATTTTAAAAAATTAAAATTGCAATTTTTTTGTGAAAAAAAAATTAAAAAATTCTCTAGTGACTGTTCATTTTGATGTCATGTTTTATTGTTACTATTAATATTTGTTGGATTTTGATCGCATTAGTGACTAATTAAATTTTTCCTGCATGAAAAGAAAATGCCAGAGAAGTCAATAATCCTTTTACATGCCTGTGCCCACAATCCTACGGGTGTTGATCCCAAACCTGAGCAATGGAAAGAATTGTCAGCATTGATTAAGAAAAAAAACCTATTCCCATTCTTTGATATGGCGTACCAAGGTTTTGCATCAGGTAAAATGTCAACTAACACTGTTCTAATTAAGATAATTAGCAAACAATAAATTTTGATATTTAATCCAGGTGATTGTGCAAGAGACGCAATGGCCGTAAGGATGTTCGTCAAGGAAGGCCACCAGATAGCTCTAGCACAGTCGTATGCTAAAAATATGGGGCTCTACGGTGAGCGTGTTGGAGCGTTTTCATTGGTGACGTCAAGTGCTGATGAAGCTGCACGCACGATGTCTCAGATAAAAATACTAATCCGGCCAATGTTTTCTAACCCGCCTATCAGCGGCGCTCGCATTGTTAATGAAATTCTGAGCGACCCGGCGTTGAAACAAGAATGGCTTGGAGATGTTAAATCTATGGCTGATCGTATTATTGGAGTGCGTAATAAATTGAAAGAATACTTGAAGAAAAACGGCAGCTCTCGCGACTGGTCACATATCACTGATCAAATTGGAATGTTCTGTTTCACTGGACTTAAACCCAATGAGGTACTTTTTTTTTTTTTTTTTTTTTTTTTTTTTTTTTTTTTTTTTTTAATAAATACATATTGTAAGCAAACATTGTTTTATTTAATATAATTGATAATTGATTATTTCAGGTGGAAAAATTAACTTCCGAGCATCATATTTACTTGACTAAAGATGGTAGAATATCGATGGCTGGAGTCACCTCCAAAAATGTTGAGTATTTAGCTCACGCCATGCACCAAGTTACTAAATAGATTTTAATTACCAGAGACCAATCACATTAAAGTTCAAAATAGAATTAAGTATGAATTTTAGTCTCAGATTCAATGATGCAGATGCTAAGATTTATTTAATAATAGCAAACTTTTAAATTATTAAATAGTAAACAATTTACGGTGTTATAAACTTATTTAAAATATCTTTAATTTTTTATTTTATTTTAATGAAAATTAAGTTAGCTGATACTTAAAAATTTTTTTATCAAAAAAAATGACTGCAAAAAAAAAGAAAAAAAATTTTCATTTGTAAAAAACTTTAAAAAATACAATTTTTTTTTGTTCTAATTTAATTATTAAAAAAAAATTAAAAATGTCGGTTAACTTTAGTATCATTTATTTGATTAAAACCGAGTTTTTTCTTATGTTAATATTAAAATACTAAAAAAGTTGGTTTTTAATAAAAAAATCTAATTTGGAAAATAAAAAATATCAAGTGAAGATATTTTAGATAAATTTATATTACAGTTAAAGAAATAACTCATATCAAAATGCATTTCTAAAAAATTTAGCGCACCTAGAAAAAATCCTAGCACTGCAGGCAGTGTAAAATAATTAATTGATATTCATATTTATATTATCTACTTTGAACTTTTTTATTTAAAAATCACAAAAGAAAAAAACAGTTAAAATTCCACGAAATGCATTTTATACCAAACTCCCATTTAAAAACTTCAAATCATTGTAAAAAGATAATAAACATAAGTACTTTAACTCTATCTTGAAATACTTATTTATTACATAATTTATTTCTATTCATATTTCACATAACTTATGGAGTGGTAATTATAATAAAAAATAGATAATCAACTATATCAACAGAAGACAACATCGCTTCCTTGATTGCCAACAAACGTGCGTACTCGCATCAAACGCAATATCTTAAATATCTTTGTTGTTGAGAGCTTGGAGCGGAGTTAAGGCAGAGAGAGTATTACCTTCACCCGGAGTTCCGCGGTATGGCCTTAGTACTCACCACTGACAATTTAAAATTCCGCGGTCGTGATAAACTTATTTATTTGTCCAGTGGATCTTTCTATCAAATGAGGACACCAAGCGCAATAAAATCCCAAGTAAATAAATAACACCTATATACTAGCATTGTTGTGATCAAATTGTACCTCTACATAACATATAGAACTGGTGGTGGTAATTACTGTTTTAAGTGTCGTGAAAACCCAGTCTCACACGCGGACAAAATGCTAAAGAACAAATTTAAATAAATAATAATAGACACAAGTTGTGTCATCGCAAGTTAAATAAATCTGACCGGACAATGGCCGTACGATAATAAACATAGGTGTGGTTAAATTTAACTTGCATATATCTATATATATATATATATATATATTTTGCTTAAATACTTACTCTATATACATACAATTAAATACTCACATTTATATACAATATGACAAGTTAATAAAAACGTCACTGTACCTAATAAATTATTTTTTAAAAATTATTTTAGTATCACTGTGTTCAAGCAAAGAAAATAAAAGACCAGCCTTGAATCTTGATAATCTGGATGATCATAACAGCTGGCAAATAATCTGGTGGAAGAGGAAGCTACCCGATAAGAGCATCCTAGTGCGTACATTAAGTTAATCATATGGGTTGGTTAAGACCAGATAAGAGAAAATATTATGACACTGAAGAAAAATTTTTGATTTTTTTTTTTTTTTTTTTAATAAACACAATAAAAAAGATATTTATAAAAAGTTGCACTTGTAGTTTTTCAAGTTTTTAACATGTGATATTTTTTTTTAATTGTTTAACTGAAATTTTTTCAATAAAAAATTTCTAAAAATTTTGAAATGTCAGCTAACTTCATTTTCATTAAAGTAGAGCCGAGGTTTTTAATCATTTGATTTTTTTTTTTAATAATTAAATTAAAACAGAAAAATATTTTTTCAAAATTTCACTTACAGTTTTTGAAGTTTTCTACAAGTGGAATTTTTTTTTAATAAAAAAAAATTTTTAAATGTCGGCAAACTTAATTTTGATTTTCATTAAATATTACAAGTGATCAGTGACTGGTGGTAGATGTAGAAAGAGAGTCTCTGGATCTGGTTGTAAGTTATAAGAGAGTATCAGTAGACACTACATAACATATAACATCCCCTCTCTGTTCTCAGTATATACCCGTGGGTGCGCCGAAAGGGAACAAAAACGCAACAACGCTGCCATTTTGGGCTGTTGGAAGCGGAACAACTCGAAGACTTAACTCTCTACCACTAGCTTGTGGCCTCTGTGGCCCCTTCTCCGTCACCGGGTCGCGGTACTACTCTTACTGATAGACTCTAGACTCTATATTACAGTCTACATGTACATAAATATAAATATATAATAATATATAAACTACACAGATGGATTTTTATCTAGTATAGCAATATCACATCTACAATATTACTTGGAGCTAGAGACAACACCAGCACCAGTGAGGCCGTTATTTGCGCGCTCATCATATCACCAGTTACTATAGACTGTGAGTATGACATATACATACATATATACATAAATATAGACACCTGGTCGCTGGATATAAGTATTGAATTTGTTTGTGTGTAGGTTTATCGTCCGTGATTGCTCATTGGAGGTTTTCAGTGGTGTGTAGTAGTATATAGTCGTTGAGATTGAGCTCACTGAGGCGACGCCGCTGTCTACGTCTGCCGCGGTCCGTCAGTGTGTTCGCGGCGCTTCGCGCGACAGCAGCTGAATACAGCAGTTATAAATATATATATATATATATATATACTATATGTATGTATTGAATACTGGAAAGAAGAAAATAGCTTGAGAGTGGAGAGTAAGAAGCAGAAGCAGCAGCAACATAAAACGAGTTAAAGGGAATAGAAACAAGTTTGTGCGAGTGAGATAAAATATAAAATATAAAAGCAAAGGCTCTACGGCGTGTTTGGCGGCGACCGCGACGAGGCGCGAGTGAGTACAGGGTGCGTGCATGCATGCGTTAACGATTACACGTGTGTGTACTTGTCGTGAATCTCGTGGCGCTGGTCTTGGTGTTGGAGTGTTGGAGTGTTGGTGACCGCGGCCCCGGTGGTGGTAGCCAAGGTGCTCTTGGTGTTGGTGTTTGTCGTGGTGGAAGTGATTGTCACGATTGTGATAGTACTCTGCGCATCCACAGAATTCACCATCGGGCTCAACAACGGACGACCAACAAATGTTTTAAATGGACGCATCGTCCATTATCACCCAAGTGTCACGGGATGACGAGCTTGGCCACTTCAATAATGAAAAAGGTACGTACTTACTACAGAACTACTATACGTTCTGTCACAGTACTGTGGGTGTGACATATCAGGACCATCCCAACTCCCAGCTGCACTCAATTTATGCTACATTACTTTATACATACTTACTTACTTACTAGGAGTAATACCATTTTATTCGCGGGAGGTATACAAGATAAAAGTGTGTGTGTGTGTGTGTGTGTGTGTGTGAGCAAGGAGTCTGCACCTGTTACTGCGGGGAAGAGAGATTGTTCCTTGATACTCGCCTCGCCTAGACCTAACATATTTATTATTCACCTTACCATTTTTTATTATATCAACTTTATCACTACTTTTATTTATATATATTATTTATATTATATCCTACCATTAATATCTATTTATCTACTCGACTTTTGGTTATTTACACACTTACTTGGTAAAGTAACTTGTAGCTTGTAACTCGGAGCTCCAATCTGTCCTTCATACTTAGCTCCGTCTCTTTCATTTTATTTCTCTTTTTTGTTTGAGTGTACCTACTCCGAAAACTAATAAAAACGTTTGGCTCTATTTCTCTACTTAGAACTTTAAACTCTGTACTTGATTTTTATTTTTCTTTTTACTCTCAATAGTATAATTTAATTTTTTATAAAAATTAAGTTAGTCGATATTTAAAAATTTTTAGAATTTTTTTTTCATTGAAAAAATCATCACAAAAAAATAAAAAAAAAATTCCATTTGTAAAAAACTTTAAAAATTATAAGTGCAATTTTTTAGTTCTAATTTCATAAATGAAAAATTAGTATTATTAATTTTTTGTAAACTTTTTTATGGTACAAAATATTAATTATTAAACATTACTAGCATGTCAGTACTCATAATCGAAAATTATAAATAAATTTATACAATTTAAATAGTTGGACTTAATTTATGCTAAATGCGCATTTATATCCGTGTTTTTTTTTTTTTTTTTTTTTTTTTTTATTCTTTCTATTTACCTCATGGAATGCAAATAATAATAACAGCAACAAATAACTACTATAACAATGACACTAATAACAATTCCAAACGTCTCCATTGAAGCGTATAACGAAGAACGATTAAATTTTCTCTTTATTTATTTATTTATATATTTTTTAGCACAACTACCGAGAGAAAATGAGGCGACCAGCAACAACAGACCACCGGGTGGCAAAAAACCTCGAGGAAGAGGTTTATTGCGCTCTCTCCTGTGCTGTCTCGGCAGGGGCCGAGGTAGCGGCAGCTCCAAGAGCTCCAAAGCGAGTTCTCTCCAGAGCGAGGGTAGAGGCACCCCGCCGCCTGGTACCCGATCACCAAGATACCTTCTACCACCCATTAGACATCAGGATATGCACAAAAAGTGTATGGTAATTGATTTGGATGAGACTCTGGTGCACAGTTCGTTCAAGCCAATCAACAATGCAGACTTTGTTGTACCCGTCGAGATTGATGGAACAGTGCATCAGGTGTACGTTTTGAAGAGGCCTTATGTCGACGAGTTTTTACAGAGAATGGGTGAACTTTATGAATGTGTTCTATTTACCGCAAGTCTTGCTAAAGTAAGTGTATTCATTACTCATTTTTTTTATTATTTTTTTTTTAAATATCTTTATACATACATACAATCATGGTCGTTAATTAAAGTATGTTTTTAATATTACTGAAAGATAGCCGTTTGTAAACTAGAACGTTTATTAACTGTAAATTTGAAAATCAGTTGATAATGTCATTTGTAAAATTAGTCGCTAATAAAAAATGATATTAATGAAATTAGCGAAATAGAAATTTTTCCAAATATATATTCAGTCATTTATTAACATTAATAGCGACTAATTTTACAAATGACATTATCAACTTATTTTCAAATTTATAGTATATAAACATTCAAGTTAACAAATTGCTATTTTCTAGTAAACTTAAAAACATACTAAAATTAATGTCCACGATTGTACATATATTTTTCTACATATTTATATTTTTTAAATTGATTTTAGTACGCGGATCCTGTTGCTGATTTGCTTGATAGATGGGGAGTCTTTAGAGCAAGGTTGTTTAGAGAATCGTGTGTTTTTCATCGTGGTAATTATGTCAAGGATTTAAATAAGCTTGGTAGAGACCTTCAGCAGATTATAATCGTTGATAATAGTCCAGCGAGTTATATATTTCACCCGGATAATGCAGTAAGGAAAAATTTTTATTAATGATTATATTTCATTCTTACTTTTATAATTCATAGATAGGTCTAAGTTTACTACGTCGTCTATTTTTTTTTTTTTTTTTTTTTTTTTTTTTTTATTATCTGATAATAATAACCAGCATCAGCCTCTGAATATTCTCTCTCTGTGTTGCCTCTGACATTATGGGGTCGTATATAATTTCATGGTCAAGAGAGAGAATCAATATTTATACGAACACTGATGCGATTTAAAGTTTAAACTATCTACGTAGGTTATGAGTAAAATAAGACCTCCAGTCAGCTATAATTTACAACAAAAAACACACTGTGTATCATTATTAGAATATTAAAAATATAATTTAGCTATTGATTAATTTATAATAATTTATAAATAAAAAATGTCTATTGTAAATAATAATTGTTGTGTTGGATAGGTACCGGTAGCTTCATGGTTCGATGACATGACAGATTCGGAGCTGCTTGACCTGATTCCCTTTTTTGAGAAGCTGAGTAATGTTGAAAATATTTACACAGTTCTGTGTAATAGTAAACATCCGTATAATCAAGTACCGGGTGGCGGTACGTTACAAAATAATTCGAGCCCTGGACAAGGATCAATGGGAGCCTCCTAGCCCCGCCGGGAGCCTGGCCTAGCGGTCAGTCTCTTTGCCTCACACTGCGACCTCAGGAGAGCATTTGATGAGCTTCTCCGTGTTGCTGGACTGTCTTGTGCTGCTGTTGAACGTCTATCGCTAGAGTCACCATCCAAGCAGTCGGCGCCGTCTCCAACTCGGAGATCACCGGTGACATAATTCAAATAATAACTATTAAAAGTAAAATAATAAATAAATAAATAACTAAATTTACGCTTAGTCTGGAGAGACGCGAAAGATTAGACACGTGATTATTCTTGATAACTTTATCTGATTGGTACTAGCTTCGTCGCCTTACTATTCATAATAAAAGATTAGCGATAAGAAACATCTTATCTCGTGAAAATATCTGAAAACTATCAAAGACTTTTGTTGGCTTCCAAAACATACTTTAGTGTTATTTTTTTTTTTTTTTTTTTTTTTTTTTATTTTATACCTATCTATTTACAAGTAATTAGAACGTTATTTTATTATCGTTTTTTATTATTGTTTTATTATTCGAATTAAATAAAATTAGAGCTAGTATTTACATCGCTGAAATTAGACAAAAGGTGATTGAGCGCGCATTTGCTACGCACGGATCACTTGTATGCGTGATCTCGATTGCATGAGGGATAACTCGAGGTCGTTCTACAAAGTCAAAAGAATAATAATATAAATATAAATAAATAAAAAAAGTAAAATGATTAATAAGATTACCGATTACATAGAATTACACGTGAACTTGAAAAGTATATAAGAGAAATGATGCATATCACATTCTTTCTCTCTCCAGACAACAGCGCAAAGACGTGCGGCGATAATCCTTTGCGTGTTAAATTAATATAACTTTGTATTAAGACGATATCATCATTAACGAATTAGAATTATTTATACATATATTTTTTTTGTTTTATATTTTATATTCATTTTTTTTTTTTTTTTTGAGCAATGCTATCAAGGGAGATTTTAAGAACGCGCTATTAAACGCAACGTTGCTCACTTTAATAATTATTTCAGTAGGTAAAGTTTTATTGTAGTAACTAACATCTTACTAAGCTTGCCACGTACAGGATCACAATATGCCTCGCAATAATGTCGTAGAAAACAAAAACAAATAATTAAATAAATAAAATTAAAATCAAGCCATTCAACCGGTTAGTGAACATTAAATTTGTATTACTCTTGCACCATTACCAACTCCATTTACAATGTTCTACGGGCGGTAACGTTAATTGTCAAGGATTACAAAAACATTAATGAGTTATTTAATAATCCAAGACATATTTCTAACTACTACCTATCGTTGATAGGTATTTATTTTTTCACTCTTCGATTTTTTTTCTATCAATTAAAGTCTCGAAAAATTGAGAGAGTTTACAAAAATAATATAATATGTTAATTAAGTATAAAATAAAATAAAATTAACAACAATAATAATAATTATTCAAAAGACTTTAACTGCCGCTCCAGTTGTTTTTTCCGGAACTACAAGACTTATATGATGATTGTATAAAAAATTTTCCATACTGATGTAATATAAATCGTATCTTGATTTTTTTATCGTCAATTACTGAGTAAAAAATAGTAGTGATTATTGTAAAGAGCACTTGTACTTAGCGACAGCGCTTGATATTATTATTATTATTACTATAACTATTATACATTTACGTGTACGTACATATATTTATATATTTCCGATGTTTTTTTTTTTTTTTTGAGTAATTAATGGATTTTAATGATCAATTTTACGCCAAAAAAATAATTATTTATACACATATATAAGTACTGTAATTAGTGTTGTTATTATTTGTACTTGTAATAACTCTTCGTGATCCACATAATAATGTTATTATTACTGTTATTATTGTTTATAAACAAACAATCGGTCCGTCCTACTATACTTTATTAATTAATGCCTTAATTTCTATGCATCAAAACAATGCCTTTGTTTTCTTCCTATTTACAAAATAATTATTTGTTTAATTAAATAGTTTACTATTGTGTTTATTTTTGTTTTAGTTTTTTTACAATACAATGTTTACTCTTACAGTAAAATGATAAGAGAATGAATTAGATTTTTTAAACCAAAATTATTTACCTGTAAATCGATGTCGTAATTTCATAATTTTTTACACTCACGCATCACGTACGTTAGTCGTGATCGTGAAATTGATAAATTAATCAAATGAATATTTAAAAAATAGAAAAGCTAAAAAATGGAGAATGGTGTGCAATGATCAAAAAGATAATAAATTATTATAAAAGATTTATTGCAGACGTGTGGCATTGCTGGGACTTTAAGTGGAATGTTTATAAAAAAATTTAATGAACAAACAAACAAACAAACAAAAATAAATAAATCAGTCGTAGATATTTTATTGGTATTACTCGACTGAGGCTCAATCGAAATACGCCGCACGCAACGTCGGTATTTTATATGTTATTGACGAAAAATAGTAATCAATTGGTGCTTCCGTAATTAGAATGAAAAAACAATTAAAATTTATATAATGTGACTAAACACGACGAAATTATTGGCTATTTTCATCGACTTTTTTTTTTGTAATAAATTTATTAATTACTCTGTGTTTATATAAATACATATAATTGTATTTATTTATATTGTTTATATACACACAACTATTAAGAGTGATAAGTGCGTAAAATTTTACGAGAAATGATTTACATTTAAAACAAAACCGATTTATCGAAATAACCCAATTGAAGGATATATATTGTATGCATGTGAGTGAGTGAGTGAGTGAATTAGTGTGAGTGATAGCTAAAAAATTTTAAATTTATATTGTAAATTGAAAGAAAATTGTAAATTTAAAAATAATAGCAGCCAATGGACGATTCGCTTATTCCATCATTTTTATTATATTGGCTCTCGTTACAAGCATTATACATTATTATTATTATTATTATTATTATATTATTATTAATATTATTATTACAATTATAAAATAACAATTAACAAATTAATAAACGTACTTATATGTACGTCTTATAATTTTAAAACGTAAGCTATTGAAAAACGCGATATGCCGCAATGATTATTTGCAAGTACAAAATTGTTAAATTTAAAACAAACGACAATGTCGCTGTGGGAAAAAATATTAAGTCGGTACACTAACTGTAAAACAAATGTAACTTTTTAGAAAAAAAAGTATAGAATGCGAACAAAAGAGAAATGATTTCAAATTATTGTATTGAGTTAATAGAGAACAAAATTGTAAATTACGTGAATAAATAAAATTAAACGCTAAATTATAATATTGATAATGCGGATAATTAATTGAAAATTAATTTAATATAAATACAATTTTTATAAATAAAAAAACAAATACGTAAAACCAATTTCATAGTTTTATTATTAAAATTTTTCATAATAATAAAACTACAATGCATTAATTAAATTAATTCATATGAAAATAATAAGTAGGTATGCAGACATTCATAAAATTATTATTAATAATTAAATATTGTACAAAATTTGTCACAAAAATATATATGTATAGAAAAAATTGATATAAAACAGAGAGACAAATTTTCAAGCGGGATATTAGAGTGTTGAAAAAAAAAAAATATATATATATATATATATATAAATATATAAATATATCAGTATGCATGTAGACTTAATTATTAATTATTAATAATATTGCCTTGATTTGTAAATAAAACTTGAAACTTCCAACTAACAGTCCTTTTAAAAATAAAAATATTGCGCTCGCAGTCATTACACGAAGCTCACGTCATAACATTGTAAATCTATACGTAATTGTCTTCTCGTTAACACGCACATGTTTCATAAATTTCATAAATGTCCATCTTAGTTATAGCGCTCTATGAAAATTAATTCAGTAGATATTTGATAATTTTTTTGACAAATAAATTATAAAAAAAAAAATTGACTTGTAGAAATTTTAAAAAATTAAAAATGCAATTTTTTAAAAGTAATTTTTTGGAACAAATTTATTTGTCAAAAAAAAAATTAAAACATAATCAAGTGACTGTTAACTTTAATGTCATTAGCGCTCTTTATTATTTACTTGAATTAAAAATTTATTTAGCATAATAAATTGATTTATTTGCTTCGTGTTTTGATTAGCGACAAGACAATAGTTTTAAAAAAAATGTAATATTCCCCACCCCTCCGATCATGTCCAGTTTGCTCTGTGATTCTGTGTTTAATAAAAAAAATATACATGTATCTTTGATAATTTTGATGTCTAAAATTGTATTTTTTCTACCTACACCTTTTATAAAAAATAATTATTAGATATTTAGTTTATTTTAAGATATAGATGTAAATAGAGTTTTTTATGTTTTAGATTAAATTTCGATAGAGTCAATAATGCTTTGTAGTGCAATATTTTCTCTTTGTATTGACTTTGTAGCTGAGTTAAGTGGGTCGACGATGCATTCAATTGAACCGTCATCGTCATGCTTCCAACTCAAGTACTGAAGCATGACCCTGATATTGACTTACTTGAAACTCCAATATCTTTATTCTATTATTAAGCTATTATTATTATCAATAAAGGAATATAATATATGCATGTATTCTCACATCAATACATATATATTAGTACAACAAAAATTTACTTTTTACTCAAAGATATTCAAACTTTTATTAAAAATATGAATGGTCAAGGTTTTAATTTTAATATTTGTCATCGCTTTATCAAACTTACAAGGTCTAGAATAATTAAATTTATTTTAACAAAATTTTAGACTCAGTTTTGGCCTTTGATGGAAGTTATTATTAATTTAAGCTCCCAATATTTATATAATTATTCCAAATTTAATTCATCCTAAATTTAATAGTTCAATAGTTATGTAACTCACTTAGTTTGATAGAATAGAAAGATATAAGTTATGTATTTATTAAAATTTATTTTAATTCGTTTTTACGGCAAATTAATTTTAAAAATATAATTTTTCTCAAGTTGAAAGGTTAAAAAAAGCTATTTAATTAACCAACACAGCTATTATCAGCACGCTATGCGCTTTGTTAATTCAAACGATGAATTTACATTTTGTTTGAATAAAAAGCATTAAATTTAATGACTGATAACATTTTTATTTTATTCAACTGAATCAAACTTTGACTATAAATATAGGGATTATTTAGAAAAAAATATTTTTACTTTCTAGGTCGCTCATTGTAATACTTTTCCCTATTTTAACAGGTGTTTTAATTTTTAATTCAAGGTTTATGAACCATTAAAAATTAACATAACATTTTTTAATTTCTTTCCTCAAGTTACACTTTTACTTTTTTTCTTCTTCAACTGTGATGAAATCTGAAAGTAATTTTATACATTCTAATTTAAACTAATTATTATAAATTAATCTATTAAATATATTGTATAATTATAAATATATACAAGTAAAAAATTTCCTATATCTTTTTTTCACAATTATTATCATTAATAATAATTTTAATTTTAATGAAAGGTTTGAGGAAGACTGCCATCTTGTTGTATAGGACTTAAGCCAAAAGTTCTGTGCAATCCTTTAATTGTTTTTTTAATTTGTCAAATATAACATTTATTATTTTGAAAATTTTAATTTTATTTAACAATTAAATTAATTTTAAAAATTATTTTTAAAAAATTACATTTTTAATTTTTAAAATTTTCTTAAAATGTCAATTTTTTTGCTATAATTTATTTGTTAAATAAAATTCTAAAAATTATTTAATATCTGCTAAATTAATTTTCATTATATTATTTTTTTGAAATGTCAAATGTAATGTAAATGATCTTATCGACTACTGTTAAAAATTTTATTAAAAAAAAAAAAATCCATCTTCTAAGAATTATGACAGTAAAAAATTCACAACTATTTTTTTTTTTAATTATATTGGATAAAAATTTCATTATGTCTGTATAAATTATTTAAATAATTACCACAATTTTAAATCAAGGTGTAATTACTCCAAAATTTTTTATAAAAATTTTTCTTTCAGAATTTTGATAAATAAAAAATTTTTCTAAATTGTAAAACAGCTCCATTTTGCTGCAAAGTTTTTATAAAAAATAAGTATATGAATAAAATGGCGAAATATTCGTTGGTATCGGCTGAGAAATGTTGACAGGAAGCTTGATTTCTTCTCCCTCAGAGTTCGGTGGAGTTGAGAACAGAGAGAGGGTTGAAAATTTTTCGCATGTCGCATGTGCAGTATAACAATTTTAGTTTGATCGTGTTGGTGTGTTGGAGGAAAACAAAAAAAAAAACAACAAAGAACCAACAGATAACGCAGTTATTAATTTCAATATTTCTAATAATTAAAGTTACCTGGAGATTTATAAATAAAAGCCGACGGATAATTGGTGTACGTGTGAAAATGTGGTTTAAATTGAACCACTACAATACAAATAATAATTTAACGTGTGAAAATATCATAAAATCATATTTACAGGTATTGGTCACTATAGAACCACTTGTGAAAAATGGCTGACCTGTGAATTTTTTCCCTCATATGTCAGTTTTGTTTATTAAAACTCTTTAAAAATCGTCTTTTTTAAAATAATCTTCGGGACAAGTGTTTTAGATTGATAGGTTATCATGCCCCGCGTAAAAGCATCACCCAAAAAATGCGTCAAAACGTCATCGAATTCCAATCCGGCCACCAATGCGTGGGTTTTTCTCATGAAAGGTAAATAAAAAAAAAAATATCACCTATCTATATAATAAAAAATAAAAGAATAATGAAAAAACCGATCAATCTTTTGTCACTGCTTCTATTGGTCGGATAAAATTCAATAGATTAACAATATAGATTAATAATTGAAATTTTTTGACGTTTTAATTTGGTATTATGATTAGGTGAAGGACTAGAAGGTACTGATGGAAATATTCCGGATGTTGTTAAATTGCGACACCCCGCATCCAGCCAAGCAGCGATGTTTTTATTCAGCCCCGGTGATTTGACAGTTCAAGAAGTTTTGACAATCGATGAGAACAAAAGATCTTGGTTTGTTGACGACAATGTCAAGTCAGATGGAAAAATGCACCTGTCAACTCCAATAGATCCAATCTTTCTCGTCTTACCGTACTTGAGAAAATCCCAGTACGCTGTACCCCTGGAGCAGCTTCTCAGAGACGACGAGTACCCGGAGACTGAAAGACTGGCTCGCTGTCAGAATCTCAAGCTAACTCTGGTCGCGGATCGCCGCGGTGATGAATCTTTGCAAGCTTACAAGTACAATGAGGAAAAAACGCTGATCTGGCTGCAGAAGAAAGTTGAGCGAGTCGCTGAGACTCTCAGACAAAAGGGCATTTATGTATCTCCTGGCGCTGTCAGTGCAAATTATGTTAAAAGTAGTAAATATGAACCTGCTAGTGATACTGGTAAGCATTTATTGTTTTAATCAAGAAATTACCTTGTATCTCGTAAATTATTGACATTTTTTAAGATATAAGCTCATCCTGATGTTACACTCATCAAGACCTTTCATTTGAGTACCCACATGCATATTTGATATATTTTTCATATATACATATATATATAATATATATAAATATATAAAATATATGAAAAATTGATGTGGGTACTCAAATGAAAGATCTTGATGAGTATAACATCAGAATGAGCTTATATTTTTAAAAACGTCAATATTTAAGAAAGTAAAGTGCAATTTAACACAAGTCATTACTTAATATGTATAGTTCACAAGTTATAGCAGTCACATAGTGACTGCAAGATTGCTAGTTTTATTTTATTTATTTAATAAAATAAATTTTTTTTTTTATTACAGAATACTTGAGATACGCTCACGGCATTGTCTCGGAGTACTTGACTGAAGATTTGTCCAAAAAATTAGCTCAGTTTCTTAATTTACCAGAGGAAATAGAAAATAATCCCAAGCGAAAGCTGTCAAGCCCTAAAGAAGTTTCAGACAACAAACGGCAGAAAAGTGAACCCGCTGAAACGGAAAATCCACCTAAAATGCGTGCATTAGATTTAACCAAGCCTGAAAAGGTATTAATTAATTAATTTAAATTAAATTGAAAATATTGTTTTTTTTTTAATCCATATTAATTAAATTTAATTTTTGAATTAAAGGTGACGAAACAACCGACAAAAAAAGAATTGGCCCGTCAAAAAGCAGCAGCTGGTTCAAAAAATATCTCTTCATTCTTCAAGAAAAAATAAATATACTTATTAGATAAGACTCTGTCTCTGTAGGTTGCATTCGTAACGTTTTAACGGATCAACGATTTTTATCGGTGTTACTTAAATTAAAATTAGATTAATTTTAAATTAAATAATAATAATAATAATAATAATAATAATAATAATAATGATGATAATGAAATAAACAAACAAACGAAACAGCAAACCTAAATAAATAACAATAATAGCTGCAATAACTTGAGAATAAATATCAACACCTTGCTACACATTATTTGCTCAAAAGACTAATACTGTACTTACAAAAACAATCGCAATAGTATTGTTGACTCTTAAATCTCGTCTCCAAAAATACGCTATTAAACTTTCAAATAAAAAGGTCTTACAATACAGTAATTAATAGGTTTGTCATGTAAATAGTCGTGTGAATTATTAATTTACCATACAAAGAGTATACTTTGTACAGATTTTTGTTTCACGTAAAACAATTATTATTTTTATAATTTTATTGTGCATTACACAGTACTTGTGTCAATCTCCTGCCAAATTAACCATTTGATACTTTTTATGAGATTTCATTTAAGTCTTATACATCGTAAAATATGTATTTGTGATTAATGATTGTGCTTCTAAATTAATAGCATTTCATTGTAATTTAGTATTATCAATTAATAATATCAATAATAATCTTCGATGTTAAAAAACAAATCAAGACTCAATAAAGCATTACATGGAAAAAGTATAATTGCTTTTTTATTTTTATTAACAATTTTGTGCTTTAAATACATGTAAAATTTATTATAAAAAAAAAAAAAAAATTAATTCGCTTCCATGGGCTCGATACCTTCAACATCGCGGCACTTTGCGTGTTGTAACTCTCGTCGTATTTCTGGAGTAAGTGTATGATGATATTGTCGCTTCAATAATTCCAACAGCGCTTCTTTTTGCTCTGAACTAATGTCACTCTTGTAACGCTGAGCGAATGTTAAAAGAGCTTGATGCCATAGAACTGGTAATTCTCTGGTATCTCTTTCAAACCTGTAAAATTTAAATTGTTATTAATTTATTACTATTATTATTATTTATTGTTTTAAGGCAACATTTAGGCTGCATTTGAAAAAGCTCTGTCTCTAGATACATAATTAAGAAATGGCCTTGTATTTCGTGAAGTATTGACATTTTTAAAGATATAAGCTCATCCCGATGTTACACTCATCAAGACCTTTCATTTGAGTATCCACATGCATTTTTGATATATTTTTCATATATACATATATATAAATATATAAAATATATGAAAAATTGATGTGGGTAATCAAATCATATATACATGTATATAATAATATATAAATATATAAAATATATGAAAAATTGATGTGGGTAATCAAATGAAAGGTCTTGATGAGTGTAACATCGGGATGAGCTTATATCTTTAAAAACGTCAATAGTTAAAAAAAAATACAATGCAATTTAACAAAAATCATTATTTAATAAAGAAAAATTTTATTTATTTATAGTTCATAAGTTACGGCAGTCACATAGTGACTCCAAGATTGCTAGTTATAATAATTTAATAAATCTGAAATAATATGATTAAAAATAAATATATAAAATAAAAAATTACCTTAAGAAATGGAAAACCACACCATCAACTACACGGTAGGGCAAAGCGTATTTTTTATCCAAAAATATTCTAATAAAAATACTATTAGCTCCAGTGTACCCCATCTCCGCAATTTTCAACAGAGCAGCCGCTGACTCCAACATAGGAATCGAGTTTTTAGCAACTATTGATCCGATGATAATAGCTTCTCTCAGAGTGCAGTCACCGGACTCCAAAAGCGGCAAGAGGAAGCCTTTCATGAACCCTCTGGGTTTATACAAAGCCTTCCTGACCGCTTGATACAAATGGAAGTTCAAACGTTTGTACTCTGCCAAATCATCTCTGACACGCGGAAGCAAAACTAAGTTATAAAACCTCTGCGCCATATTTTCCTTGAGATTCGAAGCAAAGATACGTGTAGCTTGGTACATAGCAGCGGCTGTCCAGCTGGGCGGGTCTAGTATGTAAAGTACTTGTTCCCAGTTTTTCATAGAAGGTATGAACTTAAATAATTTCGGCAATGCACCGCTTCTGTACACAGATAATATTGGCTTCATTTTTTCAAAAGACTCTTTTAAAAGCGGGTGCATGTCGTCCATCTGTATGGAGCCTATTTCAGAAAACTGGGACTGGATTTCCGTTTTTTTCTCCTCTAACTTCTCAAGGATTATGTCGGCGAGTGTCCTAGTCGGTGCTCTACCCCGGTCCATGAACAACTCCAGCGCTCTTTCATCTTGTTCGTCGATTTTAATGTCATCGTAGTATTCATTCCCGGTGACTTGTTCATCATCACTCATTTTATACTCTTCTTCATCTTCGTCAAGAGTTAGCAGAGCTTTTTTTCCTTCGTTACTTTTTTCATCTTCACTTTCTTCTTCTTTTCGCTGCTGATTTGTTAACTTAATAACTCTACTGGATACTTTTGGATTAATAAATTCCTGTAAAGATATTTTTAAAAGAATAATAATATTTAAAATATAAAACAACTTTTTCCATTTTTTTAAATATTAGTATCAAATAATAAAATGTATTAAATTTAATTTTTTTTTTAATTTCTACTTGTGGAATTTTCTAAGTTTTTTTTTTTTTTTCATTTATTTACTTTTGTTAAAATTATTTTATTGACTTAACAATTTAATTAATCATTGATATAAAGCTAGAATGTATTATTAATTTTAATTTAATAAAAATCTAATTACTCATCAAATTTACTAACCTCATCTTCTTCAGCCCGGAAACGTATTTTATTACGATTTTTGGATTTAACAATACCATCTCCTTCAAGTTGATCTGCTAGAGGTACTTTTGCTGGAAGAGTATCACCCTTTGAAACACGAACTTTCTTAGCTTTTCCCATAATTAATAAAAGTAATTATTAAATGACAGAAATAAAAACACGTGTTAATCACACAATATCACATTTCCATCCGCAACTTTTTATGAAAATAAAAATAATAAATAAAAATTAAATTTATTATTCCTTTCCTGAAGATGTCTCTTTATTACTGAATGGTGCTGCTGCTGACGAATGAATGTCGCACTTATAAATAAATTACCCGCAATCCGCACTCCGTCGGTAATTATTCAGTTCATAAAATAGGTTCGCGAATTTTCCACCAGGATATGTAATTCTTTTTTCAGTCACTCCAATAAAATACGCGGGAAATCAGCCCAGATGTGGAAGACGCGGTCAATTGTTGACGTAAAATTTTAGCGGCTTCTATATTAACTAAGTGATAAATAATACTTGCCAGATAAATACTCATAATTATAAATTGTCGCATAATAAATATAAAATTGACTAGATTCTCGAATAATCAATATTAAAAATGGCTTCAAAACGTCTGCGTGATTACACCAATGACAGAGGTTAGTAAAGAATTTATTCTAACCAAGAAATATTGTTTTTTATTATAGTAATGATAACAATAATAATTATTATTTTATTTATTTTTTTCAGATCAATTAAAAACATTCTTTGAGGAGTTTGTTAAAATAGATGATAAATCTGGGGAAAAATGTTTTAAATACCGGGAGCAGTTGACTAAATTGGCTCACCGTGAGCAAGTTGCGTTTACTATTGACTTGGACGATGTTCATGAGTTCAATGATGATCTAGCAGAGGCTATTGCCAATAATACTCGTAGATATGTGAATCTAGTTAACGAAGTAAGTATAGAATAATTAACAATGTTATTTTTTTAGACGATAAAAAATAAACATTTGCTAATAATTAAAAAAAATTGGAGCAAAGTATCCGGTTACGTCTTTTGTTTAATTATTCTAGGATTTGTTATAACTAGTAGCATGTTAATTGATAAATATTTTTTTTTTTTTTTTGGGTTAATTATAAAGAAGTGAGATTTAAATTATTAATCTTAAATAATTTTAAGAAGTTTTTTTTTTTTAATTTATGCGAATATTATTAGTAACATTTAAAATAATTTCTATTTAATTTGAAACAATTATTAGATTAAATTTTTTAAAAACTAGCAAGTGATAGTAAAAAATTTTTTATTTTTTGCCAATATATTAGTCGACTTAAAAATAAGTAGAAAAGAATTTAAAGTCAATCATTTATTATTACTTGAGTAAGCTTAAGCCTCTTATAAGTTCAGTATTTTTAATTTATAATCAAGATTACTGTATATTATTTAATCCAAAGTTATTATTCATGTACTGGAGACAAAAAAATCAACCCTTGTTACTTTTCTTATCGTCTTTATCTCAAAACTTTTTAATATTATTAAAAAAAAAAAAAAAAAAAAATAATAAATTATTATTCACCTTAATAGCTCGTTCAAGAAATCCTGCCAGAGTTCAAAGAGCACCCAGTGCCTCCAAAGGACGCTTTAGATATTTACATCGAGCATCGTTTACTCATGGAAGCGAGAAACAGGCACCCAGGTGATCAAAGAGATCCTAGAAACAGATATGCGCCTGAGTTAATGCGTAGATTGTAAGTATTTATTTTATTTATACATTTAAAATCAGCTATTCAATGTCAAAGCTATAAATAATACATTATTTTATTAACCGTTTGTTTTTTTTTTATTTAAATTTCCAGCGAAGTTTATTTCAAAAACTTTGACAACGCTAAGCAGCTCTCAGTGAGGGACATAAAGGCCAGCAGTATAGGAAAATTAGCAACTGTCCGTGGTATAGTAACAAGATGTACCGAAGTAAAACCTATGATGGCCTGTGCTACTTATACATGCGACCAATGCGGTACGGAGACTTATCAGACGATCCAATCACTAAGTTTCCGACCTCTCGACATGTGTGAGAGTGATGACTGTAAGATAAATAAGTCCGGTGGGAGACTTTACATCCAAACAAAAGGCTCTAAGTTTGTAAAGTTCCAAGAGATTAAAATTCAAGAGCACAGTGATCAAGTTCCCGTTGGTCATATTCCCAGATCTCTCACTGTTTACTGTCGCGGTGAGACAACCCGACTGTGCTTACCCGGAGACCACGTTGTCTTTACAGGGATATTTTTGCCAATAACCAAAACAGGTTTCAACCCCAGCGCCGGAGGTGCTTTGCTCAGCGAGACATTTTTAGAAGCGCATCAAGTAGTCACTTTAACAAACTTGCAGTCAGCTGACGACAGTAGTAAGCAATTGACCCAAGAAGAGTTGGAAAGTTTTACGGGCGATGATTTTTACACCAAGCTTGCACGTTCTATAGCGCCTGAAATTTATGGATTGGAGGATGTAAAGAAAGCATTGCTGCTGTTGCTTGTCGGTGGAACGGACAAGAATAAAGGAGACATTAAAATCCGTGGAAACCTCAATATCTGTCTGATGGGCGATCCTGGAGTCGCTAAATCACAATTACTCGGCTTCATATGTCGCCTGGCTCCGAGATCCCAGTATACGACCGGCCGTGGATCATCGGGAGTCGGTTTAACAGCTGCTGTGCTCAAGGACCCGCTTACGGGGCAAATGATGCTGGAAGGAGGCGCCCTGGTGCTTGCTGATCAAGGAGTTTGCTGCATTGACGAGTTCGACAAAATGGCTGACGCTGACAGAACTGCAATCCACGAAGTAATGGAGCAGCAAACCATTTCAATCGCCAAAGCTGGTATAATGACGCGGCTTAATGCTCGTGTATCAATATTAGCAGCGGCTAATCCAGCGTACGGTAGATACAATCTAAAACGTACCATCGAACAGAATATACAGCTTCCCGCGGCTCTGCTGTCACGTTTTGACCTTCTCTGGCTGATTCAAGATCGTGCGGACCGGGATAATGACCTTCGTTTAGCTCAGCACATCACTCATGTTCACCGCACGGGCTCCCAGCCCGTCACCGAGACTGGGGCGCTGGACATGAATTTAATGAGAAGGTACATCGCTCTTTGTAAAACAATAGATCCTGTTATCAGCCCGGATATTACTGAGTATATTGTAGACTCCTATGTGGAGATGCGTAAGGAAGCCAGGAACAGCCAGGACAAAACTTTCACTTCTGCGAGAAATCTTCTGGCTGTTTTGCGTCTATCCACTGCTCTAGCTCGCCTGCGTTTATCCACCGAGGTACAAAAGGAAGATGTTGCTGAAGCTAATCGTCTTGTCGAGATGTCAAAGTACTCTATCAATCACTCCGAGGTACAGAGTGGGAACAAGGGCGTAAGCACCGCAAACAAAATTTTCCAACTTATTAGGGAGATCGCCGGGGACTCCAAGACTGTTAAAGTATCCGAGATTCTCGAGAGATGCACCAACAAAGGATTTAATCAGCATCAAGTTGACGACTGCATTGAGGAGTACGAGGAGCTTAATGTCTGGCAAGTTAATCAAGCTAGAACACAAATTACTTTTCTGTAATGAGGATACATTCTTTTCTTTTTATTATTTTTATTATTGTATTTATATAGTAAGATAATATTTTTCCACGTCAATTATCTGATAATTTTTTATAACAATTTAATATTGATAATAAAACAATTTTTTACGCAATAAATTTTATTTTATGTCTTCAGTTATAAATTTAATAATAATAAAGTTAGCCGACATCTTTGATTTTTTTATCTTGCTTAATTTATTAAATTACAACTAAAAAGATATTTATAAAAAATTGCACCAATAGTTTTTCGAATTTTTTACATGTGAAATTTTTTTTTTAATTGTTTTATTGAAATTTTTTCAATAAAAAAATTTTTTAATGTCAGCTAACTTGATTTTCATTGAAAATTAAGTTAGCCGACATTTGAAAATTTTTATAATTTTTTTTTATTGAAAAATTTATTACAAAAAAATTTTTTAAAAAATGACATTAGTAAAAAACTTGAAAAACTGTAAGTGAAATTTTTTTGTTTTAATTTAATTACTAAAAAAAAATTAAAAACCTCGGCTAACTTTAGTATTATAATTTAATAATGTAAAGTTGTGTTATAAGTTATTTTACGGTGATGATGATGATGATGATGCGTGTCATTATTGTTGTTATTATCTTCATTTCTTAGCGTGAGCGGGAAGCTTAAATAGCTAGTTAGCGACTGCGCATGCGCGGAATCCCTTCTTCAGTTGAGTCGCTACAAGCGCACGCAGGAAATTTATCTTGTCTTATTGCAGAATCCGATCAGTTGCGCGCCGACAGTCTTACCGGCACTTGCAATTCTATATATTGCAAGATTTAAATAAAATAACATAGATAAGTACCTACCGGGAATAAACATATACTTTATAGATATTGTGGAGTAATAAATATTATTATTTAAATGAGAGGACTGCCGGGATAACGCGAGTGAGTGAATGTGTGTGTTAATTTATTTAAAAAGTCTATCACTACCTCTCAAGTGCTACATTTTACTATAAAAAGAAAATATAATTATATTTATTTATATTTAAATGTTGAACAACGAGATTTATTTAAATCGTGAAGAAGAAATAAGGTTATTACCGGAGGAGATTAAACGATTAAATGAAACCGGTAATGTCGTTTAAAGGAGAGATTATCCGTACGATTATTCGCGAGTGGAAATCATTTTGACAGAATAATATATATTTATTTATTATTTATTATTGTGATTATTATATTTATTTACATTTAAGTGAGTGATATTTAAATATTTAAACAACCGGTTAATAATTGATTATTGTTTTTTAGTCATTAACTGATAAATTATTAAAGTAAAAATGAAGAAAGTGTTATTTATTACATTTGTGTGTCTGTACGCGGTCGGTGGTGTCGTATCACGTTCAACGAGATCCACGCGACGACATGGAGGTAGTGGAGGTGCCGAAATTCCCGAGAATTGTCAAGCCGTTAAGCCTTTCTTTGAGAGCAAAAATATCTCCGTTGATTTTACGGCTATTACTAAAACCGACATCGCTGAAAGTAAGTTCTGATTATCAAATAAAATTACAGTAGTTAGCAGTCATTAGAGAATTTTTCAATTTTTTTAAATTTCTGACATTAAAGTATGAAAATAAAGTGAGCAGACATCTGACAATTTTTAGAATTTTTCTTAATGAAAAATTTGTAATAAAAAAAAAATTTTTAAAAAATTCCACCTGTAGAAAATTTAAAAAACAATAAATGCAATTTTTTAGAATATTTTTTTAGCTTTCATTTAATTAATAAAAAAAAAAATCTAAAAAATCATCATTAAAGTTAGCTGTCACTTGATTAATTTTTAATTTTATTTAACAATTAAATTAATTCTAAAATATTTGTTAAAAAAAAAATTCCAAAAATTATTTAATATCAAATAAATTATTAATTAGAATAAGTTACCTCAAAATATATATTTAAGTAAAACCAGAGTAAGTACTTATATATTTATAGTAATTAATTAACAAACACCCAGTGAAATATATAACATAAAATTTTTATATATTCTTTTTGTCAAACTAATTAATTTTATTAACATTTACATTAGCTGGATAATATGTATATACGGATAGGATTGTTGGGATGCTGATTATCATGCTTCGTCAAGTGTAGCACACAAACAGTACGTCCAACCGGAGGAATGTCAATACTGCAAATTGTATTGGCTTCAGAATGTAATTAGTTCATTTTTGAATAATTCCATACAACAAACTCATGATAATAATTTGAATTAGAGGTGTAAGCTTGTAACTGGGATTTTAAAACTCGACTCGACGCCAACAAATCACCCAATTAGTAATGCAGTTTGAGTGATGAATGTACTGCGCTACATACTGCTATTCTTTAGCTTAAAATCCACCACTTACATACTGTACATTGTACATTTGTTTGGAGATTGCCGGTATAAAACCTCAATAATTCGGATTAAACTCTCGACAATATTTTTACCTCCGGCACGCTTCCGGCGCGTGCCGAATAATAATCTAACGGATCTTGATGGACGTGTTGAGAGATCTTGCAACCGGATCTAATCGTGATAACATTTTTTAATCCTATCTATACTTACTTCTTCTCTTTCCTTTCAATCTAAAACTCTTTCACCTTTTATTTCCAATGCTATCCTCTTATTAAACAGACAGCCAGCCAATGTCACTGATACATTCTGCACCGGTGATATATGACGGTGCATTTATCAAACACATGACATCTTTTTAGTTATAAAGAGTACTTATTGCACTTGTATTGGCATCAAGAAAAAACTCATGATTGCTATCGCTCAAAAGACTTATCTTTTGTATGCTACGCACATTTAACGACAGACTTTTAAAGAATCGCTAAGCATACAAAAGAAGATATTAAGGCATACATTTTTATTATTATTATTATTATTACATGCGTATTTCTATCTATCTATATATAAGCTTCTTTGCGAACACATCTAAGGGGTTGGATTTTTTTACTCCGACTTTTTCAAAGTTATTTGTGGTGACAAAAAAAAACTAGTCACAATATAAAGTCTCTGTTATTTGTTACTGTAAATCTGCTACAAAATACCAGTTAATATACGCCAACGCGTCGCGTATTTCAAACACGTTATTTATATATCGCTTAAAAAGCTTTAAAATGTATCTTTCTTAAAATTCTCCACTTTTTTGTTAATCAAAAAGAATAACTTTGTTATTTTACTCCATTTGAATTTCTCCGGTAATTTTATTCACTTTCAATTTATTCCTTTTTAATTACTCACCAATTACAGTCATTTTTTATTATCTTCCGGGAGAACGATAGCAAGCTTGTCCGATTACCAGATGTTAATTATTATCAGCAAATTGATTTCATTTTCAAGTTCAGTTATCTTGTAAATAATTATTAACCTTTCATATTTAATTCTTGTGTATATTCAAGATAATATTATTCATAATTTTATCAATGTTATCTTTTTTTTTATTTTCAAACATTCAAATCAATTTGTTGATTGTAAATAATTCTGGTAGTTTAAATTAAAAATCGTTTAAGCGGTAACAATTTTTGTTAAAAATTGCAAGCAGTTATAACTGTTTTATTATTTAATTTTTTCATAAATTCCATGGAAATAATTCATCGTGATTTTTTATTCTATTTCTGGAATTCTAGAAATTCTGGAGTGTTATTGAAAACATTTTTTTATTAAATTTTCATCGGTCAGATTCTAAACTATAACTTCTGATCTTTAAATAGCTGTTGTACTATTTGATTAATTTAAAGATCAAGAGTATTAATTTAATATTTTCTTTAAAAAGTTTCTTTTTATTCTAAATATAAATTATACTGAAAATAAAATTTTAAAAAATCAAAATCTAGAATGAATTTTTTTATTGAGAACATTATTTAAAATAAAATAAACAATTCTTTGCCTAAAATTTGATGAAACTAAATAAATTAATTTCTTAATAAAATATGATATAAATATCGTCCCAGTATAATTCCGTTTGAAAACAATTTACCAAAAAAGAAAAATAGGAAATATAAGACCCTGGAGTACTTTCACAGAAGTTCGATTATTGACACTACAAATATCACCCCAATTTCATAGAAAGCTAGAAATAAATCGAAATACATAAATGTAGCCAGACAGTAAAGCGTGAAGTTTAATTGAATATATATCCTGAAAATAACTTAATTTGATTACCAAATATTTAACAATAAATTAGTTAGAGAAGCAACCCCCTCAAACTCAAAACAGTCTTGTAAATTTACTCCCCACAAACATATCAAGTTCCGTCCTAAATTAATCTAAAGTTACCAAAATCTAATATGTACTGGGAATAGATATATTCTGACAATTTGAATTTAGATATTACCCACCTCAACTCGGCTGTCTTGTGCCTTGATATAAATCTCCTACAAACCAAATTCAAACAAACAACTAAGTTACTAAGCTGAACTGCACTCATAACTAACAACAAAAATAAAATACTTATTAAATGTAATTTATTAGCTGTTTGTGTTAATAAGATGCTTAGTGATGAAAAAAGACACCCTCGAATCTCTAGAAGCTTAAACGGCAAACCGCAGCAATAGTACCTCATCATCTTACATCTGACAGCTTACAGCAAAACAAATCCATTATTATATAATAAGCGAGATAGCTGTTGGTTAATCGAGACAACAACCAGTTTTGCGGCTGTCTGTGGCTGATTTGCTCATTTAGGTTAATTAACGCGTCCTCACGATCTTATAACTCTCTCACCCTCTCTCTTTCACTTCCCCTTTTCATCATTTCCTTCCTTTCACACATCACCACACACTTTAGCAGACCGTGGCCGTGTATACGTGATACGGTATTATTCATAGTTATTACAGGCATATACATACAATACTTTGTATTGCTGAAGTCCATGGCATAATTTCGAGGGCCTCGCAGCGACAATTTGTATGATTGACAGTATTACACTCCAGGCGTTAGTTACTATTGATGATAAAGCGCGAAGGTGACCGGATAAGCCAATAA